CTCTGCATAGTTTGTTTCTTTTTTCTGGAAGGCTCTACCCCTGTACCCAGGAGGCTGGCTCCTTCACGTACTGCAGGTCTCGGATCTAAGTCAGCTTCTCTGAGATACGTTCGCTGACCAGCCTGCCTGCTTTACTCTCTCCCCCAACACTTATCCTCCTCTGACATTTCATTTTTTAATTTACTTTAAATATATTTTACTGATTTTTTTTTTTCCCCAGAAAGGAAGAGAGAGGGATAGTTAGAAACATCGATGAGAAACATCAATCAGCTGCCTCCTGCACACTCCCTACTGGGGATGTGCCCACAACCAAGGTACATGCCCCTGACTGCAATCAAACCTGGGACTCTTCAGTCCGCAGGCTGATGCTCTATCCACTGAGCAAAACTGGTTAGGGCTATTTATTTCTTTTTAATGGTTTATCTCCCTTTCACCCAGCACCCTGGAAAGTTCCTGGGACTTAGCAGGTGCTCAGTAATGCTTGATGAATGAATGAATGAATGCACTGAACTCTATTTATTGATAGAGAAAAGGGAAGCCCACAGAAGATGCATGATTGGTGTGAGTGCCCCCAGCTGGTAATAGGAAGCATTGGCCTCTATTCCAGGTCTCTGACTGCAAAGCTCAAGCGCTTATTTATTTATTTTTTTAAAATAGTGATATGTGTGTGTGTTTTTAAAAAAAAGTTTACTTTTTTTTTTTTTGAGAGAGAGAGAGAAAGAGAGAGAGAGATAAAGGGAGAGAAAAACATTGATTGACCTCCTGCACAGCCTCCTGGGGATCAAGCCTGAAACTCAGGCATGTGCCTGACCAGGAATCAAACCAGCGGCCTCTTGGTGATGGGACAATGCTCAACCAACTGAGCCACACTGGCCAGGGCTCAAGTTTTTAACTGGACTATTTTGTGACTTTAAAAAAGATATATATTTTATTAATTTTTAAAAAAATATATTTTATTGATTTTGTACAGAGAGGAAGGGAGAGAGATAGAGAGTCAGAAACATCAATGAGAGAGAGTCATTGATCAGCTGCCTCTTGCACACCCTCTACTGGGGATGTGCCCACAACCAAGGTACATGCCCTTGACCGGAATCGAACCCGGGACCCTTCAGTCCCCAAGCTGACGCTCTATTCATTGAGCCAAACCGGTTTTGGCTATTTTATTAATTTTTTTACAGAGAGGAAGGGAGGAGGATGGAGAGTTAGAAACATTGATCAGATGCCTTCCATACACCCCCTATTGGAGATGTGCCCGCCACCAAGGTGCATGCCCTTGACCGGAATCGAGCCTGGGACCCTTGAGTCTGCAGACCAACGCTCTATCCACTGAGCCAAACTGGTTAGGGCCATTTTGTGACTTTTATATCTAGGTCTCATCACAACCCTAAATGTTAGTCTGTCAGGAATACTCAGTTCACAGACTAGACCCTCATACCTCAATCCGTGGGTGGCAATGGCACGCCTGGCTGTTCTGCCTCAGGGTAGGATTTCTGGTACTAGCCTCTGGCACTCCCTGGCCACTCAGTAAACGCATAACGACTGGTTCAGGGTGGGGTTCTGGGAAAGCTCATGAAAGCTTTAGGGCCCAGGATTTGCACAGGATCTTCCGAGGCCCTGCCACTGTGTTCTGATGGTCTCGTTTACAGGAGGATATTTAAAATGCAAGTGGTTGCCGAAACCCGTTTGACTCAGTGGTAGAGCGTCGGTCTGCGGACTGAAAGGTCCCAGGTTCGATTCCGGTCAAGGGCATGTACATTGGTTGCGGGCACATCCCTGGTAGGGGGTGTGCAAGAGGCAGCTGGTCGATGTTTCTCTCTCATCGACGTTTCTAGCTCTCTATCCCTCTCTCCTCCTCTCTGTAAAAAAAAAAAAAAAAAAAAAAAAAAAATCAATAAAATATATTAAAAAAATAATAAAATGCAAGTGGTTGCTACCACTATCTTTTTCCGGTTCCCTCCCCGCTGTTGCACTTCCCTGTACCAGGGTGGTGATGGCGTAGTCGGGCATTTATGGGTCCTAGTGGGGAGAATAGGATTTGAGGGTACACTGAGGCTGAGGTTTGTGGGTTATTTGGTGGGTCCAGAGACACTTCCAGGTAGACTTCAATGACCTACCTAGTTTCATGGTGTAGGCATGGCTTCCAGGAATGCTCCTGTTGGCCAGGGTGCTAGCTCCCCAGATGCAAGGCCACTGTCTATTGTGGCATGAAATGTCCTATAAGTGTCTCACTCCAGAAGCACCTGCACAGTGAATAATTAAAAGGAATGAGCCGAAACCAGTTTGGCTCAGTGGATAAAGCATCAGCCTGCAGACTGAAAGGTTCCAGGTTCGATTCCGGTCAAGGGCATGTACCTTAGTTGCGGGCACACCCCCAGTTAGGGGGTGTGCAATAGGCAGCTGATCGATGTTTCTAACTATATCCATCTCTCTCTCTCTCTCTCTCTCTCTCTCTCTCTCTCTCTCTCTCTCTCTCTCTCTCTCTCTCTCATAAAGTCTCTCTCTCTCTTTTTAAAAAAATATATTTTATTGATTTTGTACAGAGAGGAAGGGAGAGAGATAGAGTTAGAAACATCGATGAGAGAGTCATCGATCAGCTGCCTCTTGCACACCCCCTACTGGGGATATGCCTGCAATCAAGGTACATGCCCTTGACTGGAATTGAACCCGGGTCCCTTCAGTCCCCAAGCCGACGCTCTATCCATTGAGCTAAACTGGTTTCGGCTCTATCCATCTCTCTTACTCTCTGTAAGAAATCAATAAAATATATCATAAAAAAATAAATAAAAGGAATGAGCCAAACCCTAGCTGGTTTGACTCAGTGGATAGAGCTTCGGCCTGTGGACTGACGGGTCCCCGGTTTGATTCTGGTCAAGAGCATATACCTCAGTTGCAGGCTCCTCCCCTGCCCGGGCCCTGGTCAATGTATTTCTCTCACATGGATATTCTATCTGTCTTTCCCTCTCTCTTCCACTCTCTAAAAATCAATGGAAAAATATCCTTGAGTGAGGATTAAAGAAAGAAAAAGATGAATGAGCCAGAAGCCAGTGTGTGGAAACATTTTCCAGAATTTCCAGCTAACAGATGAGATAAACTTCATGAAAGTTTTCACGAATTTCCTGCAAATTTAGACGACATCACCAATGCTGACTTGTGAAGCTGAAACTTAAATAAAAAATAAAAAAAATTCTGCCCTACCTGGTTTGGCTCAGTGGATAGAGCATTGGCCTGCAGACTGAAGGGTCCTGGGTTTGAGTCTGGCTAAGACACACGCGTGGGTTGCAGGCTTGATCCCCAGTAAGGGGGCATGCAGAAGGCAATTCTCTCTCATTGATGTTTCTATCTCTCTCTCCCTCTCCCTTCCTTTCTGAAATCAATAAAAATATTAAAAAAAATTCTAATGACTAAAAAAAGTTCCATCAAATATGCTAGAGGAAGGAGAATGCACTTTTCTTTTTTTTAAAAAATATATTTTATTGATTTTTTACAGAGAGGAAGGGACAGAGATAGAGAGCTAGAAATGTCGATGAGAGAGAAACATCGACCAGCTGCCTCTTGCACACCACCCACCGGGGATGTGCTCACAACCAATGTACATGCCCTTGACCGGAATCGAACCCGGGACCTTTCAGTCTGCAGACTGACGAGAATGCACTTTTCTTTCTGGAGATAAGGGTATTGTGAAATAAGCATCAGAAGCCAAAAAAGTAGGAAACATATCACAGAGGTGTGTCAGGCAGTAAATTAATAAAAACATTACGCTATCATCTTTTGGGATTTAGCAATGTTTGCCGTATTTGCTGGCTTAAAGAAAAAAATGATTGTAGAGATTGGAAGGGGAAGCGAGAGAGGGAGAGAGAGAGAGAGAGAGAGAGAGAGAGAGAGAGAGAGAGAGAGAGAGAGAGAGAGGAAGAGAAAGAGAGAGGGCGCGTGTGAGATAGAAACATCAATCGTTGCCTCCCCTACGTTTCTGACCAGGGCCACCTTTCCGTGTACCAGATCACGCTCCAATCACCTGAGCCATATCAGCCAGGGCAGCTCTTTTAAATATGTAATTTGTTGCTCCCGCCATTTGGCTCAGTGGATGGAGCGCCGGCCTCCGGGCTGAGGGGTCCCAGGTTCGATTCTGGTCAAGGGTACATGCCTGGGTTGTGGGCTTGGTCCCCGGTGGGGGGGATGCGGGAGGCAGCCAAGCAATGATTCTCTCTCATTCATCACTGATGTTTCTGTCTCTCTCCCTCTCCCTTCCTCTCTGAAATCAACAAAAATATTTTAAAAAATAAATATGCAATTTGTTATTAGTTCACGTTCGAAGTAAATGTTCACGATCATACACATTCTGTGCTTGTGATTTTTGTATTCCTTAAAGAACAATTCCCTCCCCTGCTCCCTCACCGCATTCTGTAAGCTGTATTCGCCCGATGATGCCTCATTGGTTTAGAATAGGTGTTCTCAAGCTGTATGGTCCCCAGCCAGCGGCTGTCCTTCTTTGCACCTGTTTCTTTGGTGGCAAAATGGGGATTGCAATAGCGCCTACCTTGCAGGGTTGCTAACTTTAAATAAAAAGCCAAGGCCTACTAAGTACTTAAGTGCAGGCTTGGGACGCACTGAGCGATGATGACAAACCTCAACCAGCCTTTCTTATGCTAAGAGCGCTTCCGCCGCTTTTAGACTACCGTCTAGACCTCTCCTTGCGCATGCTCGTCCGACCCCTTCCCCCCCCCCCCCGCCCCCTTTTTATGCCAGTGGGCGCGGCTTACTCTATCGCAGGGGGTGATGGGCGGGGTCAAGGGACTACTTCCGGGATTTCCCTCTCAAAAATAACAAAAAACCTCTTTGTATGACCGGCAGTAAGGATGAGCCAGCGGGGATTGGACAGGAGACTAACAGCCCCACCCCTTTCGAGCCTCTCTTCCGAGTTGGCCAATTGCAAGCTTTGGGGGGCGGGCTCTTCTCTGGGGGGCGGGACCAAGGAACGGGCGTCCTATCTGACGAATGGGAACTTGGTTGTGAGGAAGCCGGAGCCAATCAGAAGTGAAGATCCCTGATCCTGGGGCGGGGCTGGAGCTTCGGCGGTTGAACCGCTCGCGCGGAGGGTGGCGGCGGAGAAGGCGAGCGGCGCGGAGAGCAGAGCGGCGGGTGCGCGGGCCGGGTTGGCGGAGGGTGGGGTGGGATGGGGGGAGGGGGTCCCTTGGGGAGAGTGGGCCGCGGCCGGGCAGCCGACCCTGCCGTGTGGGAACCGGGAGGGCGTGCCCTTGAGCGCGGGCGGGCGCTTTGAGGAGGGCCCGGAGGCAGGGGGCGGACTGCGAGCCGGAGGATGTTTTGTATTTCGCTTTATTCCCCCCAGCATCTTTATTGGGGGAAGTGTGCAAGGCAGGAGACAGACAGCAGGTGGTAAAATATAGAAACGCCCTGGTGATAACTAGCCTTGCGATCTCACGGCGGTTTTCAGGCAGAGGGTTCTTACAGCGCAGCCCGGAGGGGCGGGGGCCCTGCGATGGGCTACAGGCTCTGATTTGGGGGGAGGGCACATGCAGAAGCAGTATTGGGAGCAGGGAGCGGGGCCTCCGGAGAGGAGGGTGTGCTTCAATGAGGTGCAAGGCTCAGCCTTTACTGGAACTGAGCATGTGCAAAGTACCCATCGAGTGTGTCATGTGAATTAACTCCTTAAACTTTTTTTTAAAAAAAATATATATTTTATTGATTTTTTACAGAGAAGAAAGGAGAGGGATAGAGAGCTAGAAACACTGATCAGCTGCCTCCTGCACACCCCCTACTGGGGATGTGCCTGCAACCAAGGTAAATGCCCTTGACCGGAATCGAACCTGGGACCTTTCAGTCCGAAGACCGACGCTCTATCCACTGAGCCAAACCGGTCTGGCAAACTTTTTTTTTTTTTTGCCTTAGGAGAAACTTGCTGTTTTTATTTTTGTTCCCCCCCCCTCCATTTTATTTACTTATTTATTAAAATATATTTTATTGATTTTTATTTATTTATTTATTTTTACAGAGAGGAAGGGAGAGGGATAGAAAGTTAGAAACATCCATCAGCTACCTCTTGCACACTCCCCACTGGGGATGTGCCGGCAACCAAGGTATATGCCCTTGACCGGAATGGAACCTGGGACCCTTGAGTCCACAGGCCCATGCTCTATCCACTGAGCCAAACCGTTTAGGACCCCCTCCATTTTATTAAGGTATTATTATATGTGTACATATCTCACCATTGCCCCACCCCTCCTTAAACTTTCTAACAGCCCTGTTGTTGAGGTTGTGGCCTCCGGGTTGCTAGGGTTGGAATCCCGGCCTTGCCACTGGCCCTGCCCTGGAACCATAGGGTGGTGTGGGGGAGTGATTTCACCCTTTGTGCCCCAGCTCCATCATGGGTGGAACGACCTCTTCTCTGACGGTTCCCGGCCTCACTCAGGGTTTGGGCTTCAGGTAGTCTCCATGGTGATATGTCCAGGCTGGCTGTCCGCGGTGAAACCCAGAGATCCAACGGCCGACCCTTTCCTACTTGCAAGTGCAAAGGACAAGCAGACTGAAAAACTTGTCCCAAACCAAACTCATGGGTGTTTTTTTTTGTGTGGTTTTTTTTTTTTTCCCTTCAACCTCCAAACCCATTTGATGGCATTTCTATTTTCCCAGGAACTCGGGACAAAACCTGGGAATTTCCCACCACTCCTCCTTTTTCTCAAAGCGCTCACCTATGCTCTGTCAGTCAGCAGGTCTCATCTGCTTTACTTTCAAAGCACACCCAGAATCCAGGTGCGTCTCACCACCTCCCTGGCCTAAGCCCTCACCTGTTCCTACTTGGTTGTTGCAGTGAACTCACTGGGGTCCCTGCCTCTGCCGTTGAGCCCCCGTTCAGGGGGGTCTGGGTAAAACCAGCCGGTTCAGGTCAGGTTGCTCCCCTGCTCAGATCCTCCCCAGTCTCCGCCTCTGGAAGGAATCCTTGCCAAGCCCACAAGGCCCCATCGTGTCCAGCTCCCCTCCTCCCTGCCCTCAGCTCCTCCCACTGCCTCTTGCTCACCTGCCTCAGCCACCCTGGCCTCCTCATGATCCCTCAAACATGGCAACTACCGTCCCACCTGGAGAATGTGCTTGCGGTCCCCTCTGGGTCCTGTTCTCCCCAGATGTCCAGCTAGCTGGCTTCTCCCTCACCTTCTTCAGGTCTCTTTTCAAACAGTCACCAGGCCCTCGCAGACCAGCCAGGCTAAAACCGTTTCTGTCACTCCCTGGCCCTTCACCACTGGGTTTGAGTTTTCTTTACAACATCACCACCTGACATACGTTTTTTTTTTTTTATTTTTATAATATATATATCCACTGGGATTCTTTTATTTATTTATTTTTTAGTTATTTATTGATTCCCTTTTCAAAATTGAATTTATCGAGAGTATAAAAATCCACTGATTTCTGGATATTTATTTTGTATCCTGCTACCTGTTGGATTCATTTATCAGTTCTGTAGTGTTCTGGTGGAATCTGTAGGGTTCTCTTATACTGTATCACGTCATCTGCAAATAATGACAGTTTTGCTTCTTCCTTTCCAATTTGGATGCCTTTTATTTCTTCTTCTTGTCTGACTGCTGTGTGTGGGCCAGAGTGTGGCTCTGGGGTGTCCACACTGAGCACAGCATTCAAGGGTTGACCTGGAGGATTGGCAAGAGTGAACCCTTGAAGGCTTGGCTGGGAGGCGGGGCCTAGGAGCTGAGGAGGGGAAGAGGAACTGGGAGAGACTTGGGACTGGAACAGAGCCAGCCACCGGGATGGGCCGCTGGCCACAGAGTGCGGATGGAGGATGCAGGTAGAAAGAAGCACAGGGTCAGCGTGGGGGCTAGCGGAAAGGAGATGGGAGGGAGGGGCTCTGGGCCCAGGAATCCCAGAATGGGGTGCGGTGTGTTCAGGGGTTAGGGCAGGGGTGGCTAGGAGGGAGGGGGGACAGGTCCAGCCCTGCACGGCACCCACTTTGGGGTCCAGAGGATGAGTGACACGTTGAAGTGGGTGGCTGTGGGGACCTCTGAGCTGGCCAGAGGGTGAAGCACAATTAATTGCAGGAGTGAGTTTTCCGGGGAAAGAGGCCTCCAGGTTTCAGGAGCCCCTCCAAGACCGGAGACCCCTCTGCCAACAAAGCCAAGAGCTTGCTTGGGTGTAGGGACAGGTGCCTGGCAGGACGTGTGGGGCTGAGGCGGTTGTCACTGGGCCTTTGAGAAAGGGGATCATCTGCAGATGAGAGCCAGGGAGCAGTGTTCTGGGAGCCCCTGAAATTAATTGCAAAAGTCATGGACCTGTTCATTTATCTGGGTGTTCAGAGATCTCATTAGATTCCAGGACTGTGAAAAGTTAAAAATCACTGACCTAGAGTTTCAGGGCTCATCTCTTTCTCGCTCACAAATGACGTCTCCCGATATCAGACTTAGGAGGGATCTGCCGGGGAGAGTGAGAGACTAAAGGAGGTGAATGGGGAGAGATCAGACGGTGGGCGGGGGGGGGAGGGGGGGTGCGCACAGCCCTGGGTGGCTCTCTTTGGCGCAGCTTTGGGACTCTGGACAGGGCCCTCATTCTCGCGGAGCCTCAGTTTCCCTATCTGTGCCCCAGGGAGGGAATGCACTTGCCTTGTCTCTGTAGGCCCTTTCAAGCTCAGAAACAACAAAGCAGTGATGACAGTGATGATGATGATGATGATGCCAGTTTGTATTGAGTGTTGTGTGCCAGGCGTGGCTCAGTCTCTCCAAGGATTTTAACGTGATTCATTCATTTCAGCCTTCACCCGTCTGGGCACTGTTATCCCCCTAGTTGTCCTCATGACCGTCATCTGGCGCGTTCACCCCTGCTCTCCTCACTTACCCCCTCCCTCCCTCAGGTTGCCCTTCTCGCTGTTCTTAGAACAAACTAGGAACTACTCACCTTGGGCCTGGACACTCTTCCCCAGGCATTCACCTGACTCCTCCCTCCCTCCAGGCCCTGCTCAGAGGGCCTTCCCTGGCCGCCTTAGCAAAAAGAGCAACCCCAGCCGTAACCGGTTTGGCTCAGTGGATAGAGCGTCGGCCTGCGGACTGAAAGGTCCCAGGTTCGATTCTGGTCAAGGGCATGTACCTTGGTTGTGGGCACATCCCCAGTAGAGGGCGTGCAGGAGGCAGCTGATTGATGTTTCTCTCTCATTGATGTTTCTAACTCTCCCTCTCTCTTCCTCTCTGTAAAAAAATCAATAAAATATATTATTACGATAAAAAGAAAAAAAAGAGCAACCCCATCCCCAGCATTCCCTTTCCTCACTACCTGACCTTTCTTACCTCTGACTGCTGCCAGCCTCCTGACAGGAGGGCCATAATCTGATGCCTGGATCCCCAGCACCCAGGGCGGCGCCTGCTTTAAGGATAAGGAATCTGGCTGCAGGGGAGGCCGAATAACTTGCTCATGTCCCTGCACGTGGGTGGCTCAGCCTGGATGCGAACCCGGGCAGTGGGGCTGCCATTGTGAGCCAGCCCCTAGAACCCAGGCTGGGGCGGAGGCCTGGCTCTCTCTTCCAGCACCGCATGGAGCCAACCATGAGTTACTAGTAGCTCTTCGGCTTAGAGAAGGTGATTGTGCTCACAACAGACGGATTCATTAAATCAAGTTTTTTTTTTTTTTAAATATTTTTTATTGATTTTTTACAGAGAGAAAGGGAGAGAAATAGAGAGCTAGAAACATCGATGAGAGAGAAACATCGACCAGCTGCCTCTTGCACACCCCCTACTGGGGATGTGCCCACAACCAATGTACATGCCCTTGACCGGAATCGAACCTGGGACCTTGCAGTCCGCAGACCGATGCTCTACCACTGAGCCAAACCAGTTTCGGCTAAATCAAGTTTTAATTCAGTGTGAACGACTTAGCGTGCCACTGATAATTTTGGCGCTGGCTGTTCTCTCCCCGGGACCTCTCTCTCCGGGGAGTCACATGGCCCTCCCTGCCCTCCAGTTCTCTGCGCAACTGTCAGCCGCTCACGGAGGCCTGCCCTCATCCCTGTTTGAAATCTCTGCGCCCCCCCCCCCTCCACTCTCTGTCCCCTTCCCAGCTGGATTTTTCTCTGCAAATGTTTGCTGAATGAATGAGTGAATGATGAAAAATATAAAATGAGCATAAGGATTAATAAATAATAGTATTAGCCATGGTATATTCTGTCAGCCAGCATGTTTTGGGCATAGTAATGTGCAGGGCACAGACTAAGTGCTTTTATGTGTATTGTTCAATTTAATCCTCACGTCAGCTCTGGGAGGCTGGTGCCGTTTTATACCCATTTTCCAGATGAGGAAATGGAGGCAGCGTCTCCTTCCCAAGGTGCCACAGCTGGTAAATGGTGGAACCAGGAAATGGACGCTGGCCTTCCAGCCCCTGAGCCTGGGCTCTCAGCCCCACTGGGTCCCTGTCTCATTCCCTTCTCCAGTGACCCTGACCATGGACCAGCCGGCCGGCCTGCAGGTGGACTACGTGTTCCGGGGGGTGGAGCATGCCGTGCGCGTGGCGGTGTCGGGGCAGGTGCTGGAGCTGGAGGTGGAGGACCGGATGACGGCTGACCAGTGGCGGGGCGAGTTCGACGCCAGCTGTGAGTGTGCCTGCCTGGGTGGGCTCGCCTGTTCTTCCGGGATCAGCTTCTCCTAGGACAGTGTTTCCCAAAGTGCGGTCCGCGTACCCCCAGGGGGACGGGGAGAGTTTGGTGGGGGTACGCGTTGCACCGGAGTTCGGTGGGGATATGCACTGCACCGGGCTTAGCTGCGCCTAATTCTACGCTCTCATGAGGACGAGGGGTGCTCAGCGTTACGGAAATTATGGAAGGGGCACACATATGTCAACAGTTTGGGAAACACTGTCCTAGAAGATGAGGCCAGCTGGGGCCCTGCCCTTGGACCTGACCAGAAGCTCTAAGGAGGGGAGCGGGGTAGGGCTCATCCCTCAGGCCGGAGGCCCCGGAGTCCGGGAACGTCAGAAAGCTCGGAGGCACTGCCCTGGGATGGGGCAGGTGCCAGGCCTGAGGAAGGACTTTCTTCCCACCTAGTCATCGAAGATTTGACTCACAAGACGGGGAACTTCAAACAGTTCAGCATCTTCTGTAACATGCTGGAGTCGGCCCTTACCCAGGTAAGGACCAAGCGGGGGCCGGGGAGGGCTCCGTCCCCTGGATTCCTGGGGGCAGAAGCCCGTCGGATGTATGCAAGACCTTCCCTCTCCTCTTTCATCGAAGGGGCAGGGCTGTGGCTTTCTCTTCTTTCCCAAATGTAAATGGCGTATTTTGGTTCTAATGAGAATTATTCTCATGTAGAATATTCAGGTCACAGAGAAATGTAAAGAAGAAAGAAAAAAATCACTCCATACGCTCCTGGTAATATTTTGGTGAAGATCTGGTCATTTCTTCATTTCTCTATTCATTTGTGAATCTGTGTGTGTGTGTGTGTGTGTGCGCATTTACATATCTATGATTATACAGGGCGGGGCAAAAGTATGTTTATAGTGTGAGTATGCAAAACACAGAATTTATTCTTGTGTTATTATCTATTAATTCTTGTATTGTTTTTCATACGAACAACTGCAAATCTACTTTTATCCTGTATATAGTAAATACTTTTGCCCTGCATATAGTTAATCCTTGTCCAAGGATATTTTTTCATTGATTTTAGGGGGGTGGGAGAGAGAGGGCAAGACAGAGAAACATTGATGTGAGAGAAACATGGATTGGTTGCCTCCTGCATGAACCCCGAGCAGGGCCCCGGGCAGGGAGGAGCCTGCAATTGAGGGATGAGCCCTTGACCGGAATTGTACCCGGGACTCTGGTCCTTAGGCTGATGCTCTATCCACTGAGCCAAACCGGCTAGGGCTAGTTGACACATTTCCCTAGGAATTCTATAATCTGCTTTTGAAAGATTCAACAATATTTCATAAACATTTAGTTACATTAGTGAATATAGCTAATGTTGGCATGGGGACACAGCCGTGAACAGAGACGAAGTCCCTGTCTTATGACATTCTAGTGGGAGAGAGACAATTGAAAAATATTATGTAATGCCAAGTAGTTAAAAGTAGTACTAGGAAGGAAAGCGCTGGTTGAAACTTAGAGCGACAGGGGAATGCTACTTAGGAGTCACTTTAAAACTGCTAACGGGAGGCTGCTGGGGTTTCCTCTGTGTTCGGTCCATGGGGAAAATCTGCCTGACCTGGACACGTGCTCCAGAGGGAGCCCTTAGTGTTTTCAGATAACCGTGCATGTCTTTCTTAGCTTAACACTGGATAGGTGGTGCTTTATTCTTTTAAATAAATCTTTATTTTTATTATTATTTTTTAATATAGTCTATTGATTTTTCACAGAGAGGGATAGAGAGCCAGAAACATCGATGAGAGAGAAACATTGACCAGCTGCCTTCCGCATGCCTCCCCTGGGGATGTGCCCGCAACCAAGGTCCATGCCCCTGACCGGAATCGAACCTGGGACCTCTCAGTCCGCAGGCCGATGCTCTACCACTGAGCCAAACCGGTTTCGGCATGACATTTGAGTTTTATCATTGGCAGCAAACACCGTCAGCTGTTTCTCTGGACGTGACAGCCTCACTCTGTTCATTTTTGAGAAAATGCCTGCCAGACACCCAGGGCTGAATAACCCTGGTTTTGTCTGTCAGTGGTTCTTCTGAGTAAAAATAGCGTTTTGTGAAAAAGTGGCCAACTTAGCTCAAAACTCGATGGCACAGTGCTTCCTGAGCCGGCTGTCGCTGGTGTGCAGCGGGCTGCATGCTGCCTGTTTGGTCGCAGAGAGGAGTACAAAGCCGTGCACGTAAGGGATGCGATGCAATAAAATTAATACATTTCACAGCGTCATCAAGAATATTCCCAGGTTCCATTTCCTGTGTTTTATCTGTCTGTCTGCTTATTTCGCCTTCCTGGTCCCCCACTGAGACGGCATGGCAGGTAGTGACTGCTAGGACATTTGGTGCCACGGGCTGAATTTCTCTAATGGCCCCAGCGTATTTACCCACCTTTACTTTTGCACCATTAGTGTAACACACACAGCGCAAGGGCAAAATGATCTTAACTTTCTAATGCAAATTGTGTTGACCTCTTGGGCTCCCTGGAAGGGCCTCGGGGATCCCTAGGGGTTGGCAGGCAGTACTTGGACAGCCACAGTCCCAAGCTGTCCCATGGTTGAGGGTTTAATTCTTTCTATTGTAGTTTCTCCCTCTGACCATGTCCCAGTGTCAGCACCTTGGACAGGGCCACCTTGCTCATCGGGCTCAGCCTGGGAAAGCCCCAATAGCTCCCAGAACAGGTCAGGGCGCGGTCCAGTGAGTGGGTTGGGTGCTCTGGTTATGGCCACGTTGAATCTTTTTAAAAAATGTATTCTATTGATTTTTCTCAGAGAGGAAGAGAGAGGGATAGAGAGTTAGAAACATCAATGAGAGAGAAACATTGATCAGCTGCCTCTTGCACACCCCCTACTGGGGATGTGCCCGCAACCAAGGTACATGCCCTTGACTGGAATCGAACCCGGGACCTTTCAGTCCGCAGGCCTACGCTCTATCTACTGAGCCAAACCGGTTTCGGCGGCCACATTGAATCTTGTGGTAGCTCCTCCTACATTCTCTCAACAGAGCAGCGAATCAGTCACCCTTGACCTGTTGACCTACACAGATCTGGAGTCCCTGCGGAACCGCAAGATGGGGGGCCGCCCAGGTCCCTCGGCCTCGAGGTCGGCCCAGCTCAACTCGAAGCGCTACCTGATTCTCATTTACTCCGTGGAGTTTGACAGGTGGGACCAAGGACCGGCTTAGGGCCAGGCTGGCTTTAGGGGGGCGGACGGGGGAGGATGTGGTTAGACCTCAGGTACCCAGGGTGGGTGGGGATATTGCTTTGAGCTTGCCTTTGGAATCTTCATTGTTGAGGTTTGTGTCACTTAGTATCGTGTTTAGCTACAAGCACCAGCGCCTTAAACAAACATTAGTTATCACTTAACAAGATGTCTAGGCAGGTGGTCGAAATCAATAATCTCATTAGAGACTTGGGCTCCTTATGGTTTTTTGTTTGTTTTCTTGTGTCATCCTTAAAGCGTTGGCATTTAAAAAAAAATCCTCATTGACATTTTTAGAGTGAGTGGAAGGGAGGGAGGAGGAGGAGAGAGAGAAACAGTGATGTGAGAGAGCCACATCAATTGGTGGCCTCTGTACTCAACCCCCGACCTGGCCTGGGGATGGAACCTGCAATCAAGGAACGCGTCCTTGACCGGGAATCAAACCGAGGGCAGGCTCTCTAACCACTGAACCAAACCGGCCAGGCCAACGTGTTGGCATTTTGATTTTGTCTGTATCTCTTCATGAGTCCCAAGGGGCTGCTGGGACTTCAGGCTTCGCACCCGTATCCAAGCAAGAGGAAGGGGAACAGGGCCGTGCTTGCTAAACGCAGCTACTGTCTTATCAGGAAAACAGTGTTTCCAGAAGACTCCCAACAGACTTTCTGTAATATGTGGCCGGAGATGGTCATATGCCCTTTCCCGCAGTATTTGGCGCTGCGTGGTCACAGGAAAGGGATGCTGGGAAAATGAGTGGCTATCTGTCTTTAGAGCGGAGGCAGGAAGGGAGAAGGGCGTTGGGAATGGCGGTTGGGTAGCTGGGCACAGCGTCTGGTCCAGTAATGAAGAGCTCCTGGATTTTCCCGTGGGAAGTTATCAGTCTTCTATGAGTAGCGCTTGGTGGGGCAGCTCATCAAGGTGCCCTACCTTACTCCAGCCTGGGGCACCCAGGCCAGGGTCCCAGGGTCTCCCACTATGGAGTCTCAGTTCGGATTGTGCTTGGTTGCAAGTGACATGACCCAGGGGTTCCATAGCTGCTATTATATGTAAGAGGGTTTTGGGGTGGGGGGTGCTGCCTGGTGCACAGGGGGCAGGGAGGGCTGGAAGCTGTGTTTGAACGTAAGCCTCTGGGCAGGTGAAGCTGTGGGAATTGTGTGCTTTTGTACCCCAAGGCCCTCAGGGTCTGGTAGACGCCCTGGGGATTCTGAGATGCCACGGTTCTAATCCTCAGGATTCACTACCCGCTGCCCCTCCCGTACCAGGGCAAGCCGGACCCCGTGTTCCTTCAGGGCATCATCCGCTCACTGAAGGAGGAGCTGGGCCGCCTCCGAGGGCTGGACGGCCAGGACCCTCGGGACACCCGGGATGCTGAGATCTGGCACCTGCGGGAGCAGTGAGTCTGGGACGGGCGGGCAGTTGGGGCTGTGGGCAGGGACACATCCCATCATGCACTGCGGCACCCTGTGCTCAGCACTGTTGGGAGGAAGGCGGCCCATCATTCACCAGATATTTATTGCGAGCTCCCCTGGCCGCCATGTGCTGGGTGGTGCTGGGGTCACAGTGGTGACGGGACAACCTTGGCCCTGCCCTGCTGGGACTCCAGGCCCGTGGGGGAGACAGATCTGTGAAGACGCAGCGTGCGCAGGGTGGGGGATCCCAGAAGGAACTGACCCGGCCTGGTAAGGGTGGTACTGCAGGCAAAGGGAACAGCAGGTGCAAAGAGGGTGGGAGGAAGCGCGCTGTTCGGTGCCTCTTTAGTGCTGGCCCCCTCCCTGTCCCTGAGTGACCGCCACAGGCTGCTGGATGTTGGTGCATAAGCACCGAGTGCATCACTGCGAGGGGAGAGGAGTGAGGGCCGGAGCCTGCGCTGTGGAAGGCTGCCGCAGGAACCTGATCCGGTCTTGGGCTGGGTCAGCGAAGGCGCTGGGAAGAGCGTGCTGGGCAGAAGGGACAGCATGTGCAAAGGCCTGTGTTAGGTGGGAATGTGGGGAGAACAGGGGGCTGAGAGGGAAGTGAGCAAAGGCTTTGGCCATACTGCGTGCCTGCTGCGTGCTGTGGGCTGAGGGGGCGCTGAACTGGGGCCGGGTCTCTACCTGGAGGAGGCCCCACACAGTGAGGGGGCGGGAGCTAACGGTAGTAATAATAATAATCCTATATAATAAAGATGTGATGCGCAAATGGTTGTTACACCATGAAGAGTAACCACCATCTGCATGATGACCCGATGACGGATCAGCAGGAGGGTGGGGCAGCGAGCTGCAGTGGGCTGCGGACAGCTACAGAAGGGGGCAGGGCAGCAAGCTCTGCGCGGGGGGAGGAGGAGGGGGCAAGGGGAGCTGCAGGAGGGTGGGGCAGCGGGTGAAGAGCTACTGGAGGGCGGCAGTGAGCTGCTGGTGCACAGATTCGTGTGCAGGGCTCCTAGTAATAGTAATACCAGTAGCAGATGTTGTTTAGCATTCAACAGGGTGCTCAGTGCTTTATGATTCGGGCCTCACAAAGGAGGAGACTGAGGCCCAGAGAGGTTGGAGAGCTTGGCCCAGGTCACGTGATTAATGTGGCCAGGCTGGATCTTGAATCCGGGCAGCCAGCATCAAGTCCCTGTGGGTTCCGCAGCCGCTGTGCACTTTTGTTTCGGTAATCCTCACCTGAGGACATTTTTTCTTCCCTTGATTTTCAGAGTGAGTGGAAAGGAGGGTGAGGGAAACATTCTTGTGAAAGAGACACATCCATTGATTGCCTCCCAAACGTGTCCCCACGAACTTGCAACCGAGGTATATGCCCTTGACCGGAACTGAACCCTCCACCCTTCAGTCCATAGGCCTGTGGTCTAACCACTGAGCCAAACTGACGAGGGCAGCACTGTGCACTCTTGGCAGCTACTAGCCCAGGACTGAGTCCTCAGTGCCCACAGGGAGGACCAGCCTCTCCCTGGCGGGTGTGAGAGCTCAGGGGGCTCGAGAGCCCTCTGGGTCTGGGAGGAGCGCGGGCTGGCCGCGCAGCGCGCCAAGCAGGAGGGCTTTACCTCCAGCCTCAGGAGCTGCCCAGGCCTGGTGGGTGCCTGCGTGCGTGTTTCTCAGGCTGGCCGCAAGGTGGCGCCCTCTGCCCTGAGATCCACAGCTTGGCAGTGGCTGCTGCTTTAGCGAGTTTGAGGACTAAGATTTATTCGTTCATTCATCCAATATTTAACGAGTTCATACTGTGTGTCAGACACATCACCCAGCACTAGGAATTTTTTTTTTTTGGCCCTTAATCAGTGCCAGCCCTGGTCTAAGCACTCTTCCTAGATTCCTACACGTTCTAGGTATTTTATTATCAGTGTCCCACTTCACAGAGTGAAGTGGAACTGCCCGAGGTCGCCCAGCTGTCCTAAGTGTGGCAGAGCTGGATGCAGGCAGCCTGGTCACAGAGCCCAGGTTCCTTCCCTCTGGCCGGGAAGGGGGAGGACCCAGACAGAAGACGGTGATCCCACTGTCCTCAAGGGGGAGGACCCAGACGGAAGACAGGCGATCCCACTGATAACCACCAGCGGAAGCCAGGAGGGCAATGCAGGGAGAGCCAGGAGAGCAGAGAGCAGGGCGAGGCGGCCTCTCTGGGAGGTGATGTCTGAAGGATGAGCGGAGTCCTTCCGCCTGGAGGAGGAGGAGGGTTGGGGGGGAGTGGGGAGGGAGCTATATCTGCTAAGGGAAGCTTGGAGAAGGGGAAGGTGGGAGCAGTGGGGGAGGGGATAGCTGCTGGAAGGGGCTGAATGGGAAACTCCTTGGAGGGTTTGGGACAGATTTTGAAAAGCATTTTATTAGGAAACATTCCTAACACACACACACACACACACACACACACACACACACACAAATGCGCAGCACTGGAGACCCGGCCTCAGGGGTCACGACATTTTGCCCATCTTTGTTTGGTCTATGTTCCTCCCTCTCCCCTGAGAAAAAAATTCAATATGTTTCTTTTTTTCTTTCTTTCTTTCTTTCTTTCTTTCTTTCTTTCTTTCTTTCTTTCTTTCTTTCTTTTTAAAATATATATTTTATTGACTTTTTACAGAGAGGAAGAGAGAGGGATAGAGAGTTAGAAACATCCATGAGAGAGAATCATCAATCAGCTGCCTCTTGCACACCCCCTACTGAGGATCGAGCCTGTAACCAAGATACACGCCCTTGACCAGAATCGAACCCAGGACCCTTCAGTCTGAAGGCCGACGCTCTAGCCACTGAGCCAAACCGGTTTCAGCTTACTGTAGCTTTATAATTAATCTGATATGGGCAGAGCAAGTTTTTCCCTTTTGTTTCTCATTTTCAAGATATTTCTGTTGTTATTAATCATCACGTGAGCATATTTTCCCCCCAATGATTTTATTTTTACTTTTATTTATTTAAAAAAATATATATTTATTGATTTTTTTTTTACAGAGAGGAACGGAGAGGGATAGAGAGTTAGAAACATTGATGAGAGAGAAACATTGACCAACTGCCTCCTGCACACCTTCTACTGGGGCTGTGCCCGCAACCAAGGTACATGCCCTTGACCGGAATCGAACCTGAGACCCTTCGTTTTACAGGCCAACGCCCTGAACACACTGGCCAGGGCTCAATATATTTTTGGCAATTTGCATTTCCATGTAAATTTCAGAATCAATAGATTTTTCAGTACAAGCACAAAAAACTTGTTGGAAATCTGATTGGCATTGCGTTGAATCAATAGAACTGTTTAGGGAGAGAGCTGAGATCTTTACAAATACTGTATTTGTATTCCAGTCTATAAACAATTTCTCTCTCTCTGTTTGTCTCATTTAATGTCTCAATAATGTTGTTCCATCCCACTTTATTTATTTATTTATTTATTTATTTTTAAAATATATTTTATTGATTTTTCACAGAGAGGAAGGGAGAGAGATAGAGACCCAGAAATGTCAATGAGAGAGAAACATCGACCAGCTGCCTCTTACACACCCCCTACCGGGGATGTGCCCGCAACCAACGTACATGCCCCTGATCAGAATCGAACCTGGGACCTTTCAGTCCGCAGACCCATGCTCTACCACTGAGCCAAACCAGTTTTGGCATCCATCCCACTTTAGATGCCCTTGTTAGTGGTTTCTTTACTTTAAATGTAAGCCATATTGCTTTTTGTATAGTTGATATGTATGTATTATTGTAGAAACTTCAGTCAAATGTCTTATTTATCTAGATTGTTTTTGGTTTTCAATGTTTACAAATGAGCTTTGCTAATTCCCTCTCAATCCTTATCTTTCCTTTCAATTTCTTGCCTCATGGCACTGGCGAGACCTGCAGAACGCTGAGAAGGAGATACCAGCAGGTGGCATCCTGGTCTTGATTGCAAAGGGGAAATTCAGTATTTTGCCCCAAATATGGGCACCTCTTTATATATTTCAGATCTTTAATTGGTTTTGATCTTCAGGCCAGGTGGTAACCACTGAGTTAATATACAGTTTTGGCAGCTATTGACAATCAATGGCTAGATGGATTTTTCATTAGGGGTTTTAAATGACTGATCTAATTCTCTAATACTTTTTGTAGCTGGGATTCATCAATAAAGAAAAGCATTCTCTCATCAACTATCTCGTTCCCCTGAGAGACATCTCCTATGGGAAAGGCATGATTCATGCTGGATTTTTTTATTTTTATTTTTTTTAATTTTTTTTTTTTTTACTTTAACTTTTGTCAGAAGAATTAGTTGGTTCTCTTACATCCTCCACGGAGACTGATGAGTTTTGTCTAGTTTTTACTGTCATCATGAACGCGTGAATTTAAACCGAATTGATGCCATGTTGGTGTCCTATGGCTTTCTGACAAATGACCATAAGCTTCGTGGTTTGAGACCACAGGAATCTTCTGTTGCAGCCGGAATCCCAGAGGCCTGACGTCACTGTCATTGGGATTCGGTGAAGGTGTGGGCTGGGCAGGGCTCTGCGGGAGAACCCAGTTCTTGCCTCTTCCAGCCGGCGGCTGCCATCGTCCTTGGGCTTGTAACCACTTGATGCCAGTCGATGTGCCTGTGGAGTGGCATTGCCTTCTCTCTTATGAGGATACTTGTTGGTTATATTTAGGCTCACTTTATAATCTCCTCTTGTTAGGTGCTTGATTTATTATTATTATTTTTTAATCCTCACACAAGGACATGCTTAGAGAGAAGGGAGAGAGAGAGAGAGAGAGAGAGAGGAACATCAATTGGTTGCCTTCCGTGTGCTCCCTGAGAGACAGAGACAGAGAGAGAGAGAGTGAGAGAGAGAGACATCAATTGGTTGCCTTCCGTGTGCTCCCTGACTGAGGATTGAACACAAAACCCAGACACATGCTCTGACCAGGAATAGAACTGGCAGTTTTTCGGTGCTCAGGATGCTGCTGCAGTAAGCTGAGGCACTTTGGCTGGGCAAGGGCCTTGGTTTCATTGGGCACATCATCAGGTGACGTTCACAGGGCCCGGGGTCTGGGCATGCGTACATTCTGGGAGGCTATTTTCTGGCATGTCAAGATGTCCTGGACTTCTTTCCGCTTTTCCGGCCTCAGAGCTGGTGTCATTTCCCCAAGGAGCTGTGGTTTCTTTTAGTGGGAAATTGTTTTTAGAGATCACGGTCTGGTTATTAGGGGTGCTAATTGCCATTGGGTTGACATTACTTTTAGGCCTTTTACATTTTTAGAAAGAGAAAAATGATGTCCATGTTGACCTCTTTCATTTGTATGGCTTTTTAAAAAATATATATATTTCATTGATTTTTTTACAGAGAGGAAGGGAAAGAGAGAGAGAGAGTTAGAAACATCGATGAGAGAAACATCAATCAGCTGCCTCCTGCACATCCCCTACTGGGGATGTGCCCACAACCAAGGTACATGCCCTTGACTGGAATCGAACCTTGGACCCTTCAGTCAGCAGGCTGATGCTCTAGCCACTGAGCAAACTGGTTAGGGCTGTATGTCTTTTCTCATACTGAAAGTCTTAGTTTCTAGTTACAATAACATAATTATTTTCTTTATCCTAATGACACCAGTATAACTACTAAGAAGAGCACTGAATGAAATTTAAGGTTTCTTTGCAGTTCTTTGTGCCCTTAGACTATTTCCTACTTGCTAAAATAAAGTATGTGTGTGTGTTTTGTTACTTGACATAATTCCCCAATATGCCACTAACTTTGATATACAGTTAGGTCTGTTTGAGTGATTGCTTAAAAAATTTTAGTGATTGCTTTTATTAAAATTTATTTCCATAAAACATTTTCATAGTTCCAAATTCAAAACTAACAAGGAGGTACATTCAGAGGGGTCCAGCTTTTATCCCTGTTGCCACCTTTGTTCCTCCCATTTAAACGTTTTTGATTTATCCTTATATATTTTTGAAAATATGAACGTTATAATTTATAATATCCCTTTTTCTTTTACACAGATAGACATACAAAACATTTTTTTTCTGTACTGTTTCTAAACTTATATCCTGTCAGGATATAGAGATCTTCCTGTTCCTCCTTAGGGGTGTGTGGTACACATTTTGGTGGATGTACCATAGAAATTCAATTCCTGTTGATGCACATTTTGGTTATTTCCACTCTTGATATTACAAAAAGTGCTGCAAGTAGTAGCCTCTGTGTACATCTTTTTCTCAGAGGATTTTGATCACTGTAGTGCCGGATTGTATTTGCATTTTAGAAAGAGTCCTCTGGTGAGTAAGCAGTGAGAGGCAGCTAAGGGGCCAGAGGAGGCTGGGACCTCAGGGTTAGGCTTGGAGGGTGTGGAGAAAGATGGGTGCTATATTTCGGAATAAGAACAACACAGCTGTGTCCTCCCGTGGGAGGGATGGGGTAATGTGGCCAAGTCCTTGTCACGTGGGGCAAATGGAGGAGGGGAGGGGGTGGCACCACGGGGACAGCAGCGAGTGGTGGGTTTCCATTTGTGGGGCAGGTGAGATGGTGCGTGTCCGTGGAGGAATGCGGAAGGGACTCCGGGCTCCCCCCCAGCCCTTCCCCTTTTCTCCCCCCCACCCAGGGTGTCCCGCCTGGCTGCTGAGAAGCGAGAGCTGGAGGCCCAGCTGGGCCGATCGCGGGAGGAGGCGCAGGCCGGGCGGGCGGCGCGCCAGGAGGCCGAGTCGCTGCGCGGGCTGGTGCGCAGCCTGGAGCTGGAGCTGCGGCAGGAGCGCGGCCTCGGGCCCCGCGGCGCCGGCCGCCGCAGCCAGGACTGCCGCCGCCTGGCCAAGGAGGTGAGGTGGCGCGGCGCCGGCGGGGCCCGGGGGCGCAGGCCTGGGCCTCGGACCGACCTCTGCGCTCCTGTCCTCTCCTTGCAGCTCGAGGAGGTGAAGGCGTCCGAGCGGAGCCTGCGCGTCCGGCTGAAGTCGCTGAACTGCGAGCTGGCGGCGTACCGGAGGGGGTGAGGGCGGGGCGGGGCCTGGGCCCAGGGGCGGGGCCTCGGGCCTTGGGGCGGAGCCTGCGTTGAATGGAGGGTTGGGCGAGGCTGCCGGATTGCCCGTGGCTAACGGGACTCCAGCAGATGGAAAGGGTGAGGGGCTGGAGAGGGGGCAGGGCTGGAGGCGGCATTCTGGAGTTGGGCTGCTCGCAGGGACCAGGGAAGGGGGGCCCTGAGGGCGGGACGTGGCGGGATCTGGGTGATTGGTTCAGGTCTTTATTGGGGTGGGTGGTAGGTAATTAGTGGGGGAGGACCCGGGAGCTGTGGAGACCCCAGGAAGCAGGCTCAGGGGAAGGGCTGCCAGGCTGTAGGGAAGTGACACGGTGCTTTTAGGAAGGGGCAGTGGGGCTCGGGGGGGGGGGGGGGGGAGCGGGGGCGGGGCTCCGGAGGAGGTTCTGGGGGGTTGTGTGCATGAACGAGGGCACGGATGTCTGGAACCCGTGGTCCTGAAGGTCCGCAGGGGGGAGTCCGGGAAGAGGCTGGGGCAGGAGTGGCCGTGGCCGGTGGGAAGCTGACGGCGGGTCCTGTGCTCAGGAGACGGGCCTCGCCGGCGGGGCCGCGCCCAGCCCGGGAGGACCGCGCCTCGTCGTCCAGGGAGCGGTCCACGTCGCGGGGCCGCGGCGCCGCCCGCTCGTCCTCCCGGGAGAGTGGCCGCGGGGGCCGCGGGCGAGGCTGCCCCGCGCGCACCTCGCCCTCGCCCTCAGGTCTGTGCAGCCTGCCCTGCCCGCGGCGGGCGGGGGGATGGACCAGGGAGGTGGAGGCAGGATCCTGTGACCCAGCCTCTTCCCTCCGCACCTCCTGCCCCATCCTAGGTGGTCGCCTGCCCCGTTTTGACCCCACAGCCTTTGTGAAAGCCAAGGAGAAGAAGCTGCGGGAGATCAAGATGAAGTTAGCACCTATTCCCCCCCCCCTCCCCGCCCCATCTCTGCCCCTCCCCGCCCCTCTGCTCTGTCCCCATCTCCCGTGTGTCCCATCACCGGCCCCCCGCCCAGCCCCCCTCTTGCCTCCGGTGGCCTCGGCGCGTCCCCGCCCGGGCTGTGCCCGCCGGGCGCCCTCCCCGCGCTGGCTGGCGCTCAGGCGGCTTCTGCTCGGGCCCGCAGGCAGCAGCAGCAGCAGCGGCGGCAGCGGCACCGGCTGGGCAGCGGAGGAAGCGGGGACGGGCCGGCCATCTCCTGGGCTCGCCAGGCTCGTCCCCCTGCTGCCGTGACGGGCCGAGGGGACGCGGCTAACCGCTCCCGAAACCGCAGCTCCTCGGGTAACCGGGCTGGAGGCCGGCGGGCGGGCTGGGCGGACAGACTGGGAGTGCTGGGGGCTCACCACCCCTCCTCCCTCCAGTGGACAGTTTCCGCAGCCGCTGCTCCTCCGCCAGCTCCTGCAGCGAGTTCGAGGATTTCTCGGGATCCCTCTCTAGGGGGTAACGCTTGGGCCGGGATGTGGGTGGGTGAGGGGGGTGAGGAGGACGCCTCCGTACAGGTGGCTGGGGAGACTGGGAACAGCCTTGTTGGGAAACAGACGGGAGGCGAAGGTGGGAGATGCCAAAGGTCCCTCCCCTTGGTCTCATCCCTCCCCCTTTAGCATTCTCAGCCGCGGGAAGCGGTCCGGATCGGCAACCATGAGTGGGTCCAACACGGTGAGTGTCTTCCCTCAGGCCTCGGAGAGGGGCTGGCAGCACGAAACCACCAGAAGCCGATGCTCCCTTCTCCCGTGTGCAATGTGGGGATTGGGTTGCAGAGGCGCCTGGAAGTGCTTCTGGACACAGTGTTCTTGGACCCCTGGATTGGAGGGGAGGAGGGGCCGGTGGAGGGACAGAGGACACTGGTCAAGAGCACAGCTTGACCACAAATTGCCTCCTACGGCCTGTGTGACCCCAAGATAGATTCTCAGTCTCTGTGCCTGTTTCTTTTAAAAAATATGTATTTCCATTGGCCCCAGCTGGTGTGGCTCAGTGGATAGAGCATTGGCCAGCGGACTGAAGGGTCCCGGGTTTGATTCCGGTCACTGGCATGTACCTTGGTTGTGGGCACATCCCCAGTAGGGGGTGTGCAGGAGGCAGCTGATCGGTGTTTCTCATCTATTTTTCTTTTTTTTTTTTTTTTAAATATATTTTATTGATTTTTTACAGAGAGGAAGGTAGAGAGCTAGAGAGCTAGAAATGTCGATGAGAGAGAAACATCAACCAGCTGCCTCCTGCACAACCCCAACCGGGGATGTGCCCGCAACCAATGCACATGCCCTTGACCGGAATCGAACCTGGGACCTTTCAGTCCGCAGACCAACGCTCTACCACTGAGCCAAACCGGCTTCGGCTCTCATCTATTTTTCTAACTCTCTATCCCTCTCCTTCCTCTCTGTAAAAAGTCAATAAAATATATATTTAAAAAATATTTTTATTGATTTCAGAATGGTAGGGAGAGAGAGAGAGAGAAAGAAACATCAATGATGAGAGCGAATCAGCGATCAGCTGTCTCCTGCAGGCTCCCTGACCAGAATGTGCCCTGACCAGAATCCAGTGCTGACCTCCTGGTTCATAGGTCCAAACTCAACCACCAGCCACACCAGCCGGGCCTCAGATTCTTTATCAGTTAAACGGGGATGGGAATAGTATTCACTGCGAGGATTTTGGTGAAGGTAGAAAGTTATAGGTGCCTAATACGTGTCAGCTCTTATTTTTCCCGAGGTGCTCAGGTGCAGAATTCCTGGTGGGGTTTGGGGGCAGGAGTGGAGGGAGATCACCGACTCCTCTCCTGTCTCCCCAGTTGCAGAAGTTCACTCCCATGGAATGCGGCCGCCGTCCGAAGCATCTGGCCACTTCTGGGGGCTGGGTCCCCATCAAAGGTGAGCCGGGGACTCCACGTCTCCCCCTCACTCCTCAGAGCCTGCTGGGGTGGTACTGAGTGCATTGATGGGGCCCCAGAGCTCCCGTGGCTTCAGCCCCTCACAGTCCCCCAAACCCACGTCTGCTCTCACAGAGTACAGCTCTGACTACCAGTCAACCGACATAGCGGAGATAGACGCCCGTTTGAAGGCCTTGCAGGAATACATGAACAGACTGGACACAAGGTCATGACCTTGAGGAGCACTGCCCCTCCATCCCTTGCCCACCCATGGATTGGCTGGGGGCGGGGCTGCTGTGTCCTCTCAGCCCCGCCCAGGCCCCTACTCCTCTCACTCTCCCAGGCATTGCATGCTGGGAGGGAAGGTCTGTGTATTTTGTAAATAAACATATTTACCCTTGGGATCCCTATGCTTATGGCTTAAGGGTAAGGGTGGAACAGGGAGATATCAGGACTAGGGGGACCATTTCTGGGCATGTCCGACTGGGAGGCAGACTGGGGTTCAGGCTCAGGAAAAATCTTGCACCCTAACGCAGTCAAAGTGGGGGGACCTGCCGGGTGATGGCGAGCAGGCCATCCCCATGGGATCCCGGCAGAGTCCTGCGCAGGACATCTTGGACTGTGTGGTGTGGTGGGGAGCCTTGCAGGCTGGGTCACGGCCTGGGAGGCCCCAAGCTGCTGCCAGTGACATCCGGGCGGCTTGTGCTGGTCCCTGCGCACTGACCTGAGAACTCCGGCTACTGGGCCGTGATGCCGCTCTGAGTTGGCATCTCTGGGTGTGGGTTCAGGGTTGGGGCCTCTGGGTGCTAGGAGGTGGGTGAGTGACAGGGCTCTGAGGGAGGAGGTGTGTGGCGGGCATGGGAGCACAGTTGGAGTTGCACTTTTATTGGAGGGGGCTTCTCACTGAGGGGTGGGGACAGTCAGGGCCTCACTCTTCGTAGTGGTGTGGCCACTTCCGGATGATTTCGTAGAGCTGGTCGCCTGGAGATTGCGTCTGCTGCACCTGGCGGTGCCCTCTGACCTCATAGTTGGGACTCAGAATTCCCTGAGCCACTCCGCAAGCCAGCAGGCTCTGGGCCGCCCGGATGGCCCGGGGCGGGGGTACCCGTTCTGGGGGGACAGAGGCAGGATGTAAGCTGGGGTCTCCTCAAAGGGCAGAGGTGGTGTGGGTAGTGGTTCCACTTGTGCCCTCCCAGCTTGGCCTGCTAGGACCCAGAACCCGGTCTGCCACTCCCTGTCAGTGACTTGGCCTCGCGTGCCTCAGTTTCCTCGTCTGTGAAAGGAGAGAATACAGTGGCACCTGCCACAGAGCTATGGCACCGACAGACGAGTGAAGCCCTCGGAATGGCGCCTGGCCCAGCAGGTGCTGACCGCAGGGTCCCTGTCATTCTCCCCCTGCCCCTAGGCTTGGGGTCCTGCCCACGGCAGTGACATTGTCAGCACTTCTTAGGTGGCAGGGCCTGGCCTGAGAACTTTCACACAGATTAACTCCTCCTCATCCGAACCATGTGGCTGAAAGTTCTCATGATCCAAAAAGGAAGAAATGAGCCCTAACCGGTGTGGCTTAGTGGATAGAGCATCGGCCTGAGGACTGAAGGGTCCCAGGTTCGATTCCGGTCAAGGGCATGTACCTTGGTTGCGGGCACATCCCTCGTAGGGGGTGTGCAGGAGGCAACCGATGGATGTTTCTCTCTCATTGATGTTTCTAACTCTCTATCCCTCTCCCTTCCTCTCTGTAAAAAAATCAATAAAATATATTAAAAACAAACAAAACAAAAAAGAGGAAATGAGACTCGGAAAAGCAGTCACTTGTCCAAAGTCACAGAGCTATGGGTGGCAGAGCCTCTTCACAACTACACACCATGTTCTCCCCACCTCTGCGGGCGACCCCCACGCCCACCCCCTGCCCCCCGCGCGCCGCCCGGCCATGGTGGCCCCTGTCCTGACCGGTGGAACAGCCACTCACTCATGTAGTTGCCCATGAAGGTGATGCCGATGGACATGGGGTTCCAGGTAGGACCGGAGTGGTCACCCTTGACCTTCCAGCCGCGGCCCTCGTACACGAGCCCGTCTTCTCCAATCAGGAAGCTGCGGGGGTGAGGGAGACTGATGGATGAGAGAGGGCTTCCTGGGAGAGGACTCCCTCCTCCACCTGCCCTGCCCCTGCTCCCGCCGCTCACAGTTTCCCCTGCACCCCTCTTCTCCCCGGTGACAGCGGCCCCTAAATGCCAAGCACAGCTCTGGGTGCACCTTTTTCATCCTCACAGCAACCCATGAGTCACTATCGCCCCATTCTGTAGATGATCAGAGAGGTAGAGACACCTGCCCACCGTCACACAGCCCGTCAGGGGCGGAGGCAGGATTTTCACCCGGGGCCTCATGGCTCCCACCCCCAGGATCTGACGCCTCGCTCTCTCCTGCCCCCGGGGAGGATGTGTTGAGCTCTCGCGTGATGTCCTCTGAGAGAGGCACTGCTGTCACCCCCCTTGAAGCTGAGGAAGCAGACTTAGAGAGGTGACTGGCCAAGGTCATGCCCCAGAGCTCCTGCCTTAGATATCTCCACTGAGAAGCTCCGACGCCCTCACCCCAGCCTGCCTCCTGCTTCCTGCTTCCTGCTGGGGGTCAGGACCAGGGACTGAAGGGCTGGGCCACCACCAGACACGGACCCTGGAGCCCGAGCACCTGGCAGGTCTTTAAGGCTCTCATTCAACACGTCCTGATCGAGCGAGCCTGACCAGCTTGTGGAATTAACTAGAAGGTCAGCGTCTTTGGAGAAGCAGAACCACTGCTCACTCTTCCTGCTCCCTCCACACCCTGAGCTCTGGCCTTCAGGCACGAGGGGCTGTCTCTCCCCCCCCCCCCCAGCCTTCCCCTCTGCAGTGCCCCAGGCCACCTCAGAGCCACCAAGACTAAGGTGACCAGACGTCCTGATTTGACCCGCGTCGTTTTAAAAAGTCCCGAACAATGCGGGACAAATTGTTAGAAATCGGGACGACTGGTCACCTTAACCAAGACGGGAAGCCGGTCCCTTCGGAAGGAGCCCCGGTGGGTGTGGCTGCAGCTTCTGAGGCCTCCCTCCATCACTTTTTTTTCTAGAGAAAAGTTTCCACTTATTTCTTTAGAATAAAGATTTAGTGCACAAATACAGCCCAAAGCCAACATAAAAATAGCTTTGCCCTGTCATTTCCCTAAGAAAGCACTGCAGTTCTTCAGAATAGGCCAAAAGGAAAAAAGCAATCCCTGGAGATCTAGATTTCATGGAAGGACCACGCTTGCTCATCACGTCTTTCGCCCCCTGAGCTCCCAGTGCTGCGTTATCTCCCCATCCCAGCATCCTGCCCCGTGGCCGCGCGTGGAGCAGGTGCCTAAGGGCAGAGCCCACGGACTCGGGGCTCCCGCTACATGCCAGGGGGTGTCCAAAGCACTCTGCGTGTGCGGGCTTCATGATGAGGTGGGCCAGTCCTGCTGACCGCAGAGGAGGCAGTGGAGCGATGGGACAGCCCGCCGGGTCCCAGGCAGCCCTCACAGAGCTGGGGGCCGGGACTGGCCTCTTAACAAAGGCGCCGGGCGCCGGGCGAGGGGGGCAGAACTTGAACTTCAGCCCTTCTCTCATTGGGGCATCCATGCCTCGGGGCATCCCGGCCCAGCCGTCTATAGTCAGGTGACCAGATCGTCCCCCTGTTGGCGGGACAGTCCCGATTTTTAACAATTTTTCTCATTTTAAAAAACCGCGGGACGTGGGAAAAATTGTTGAAAATTCTTTCCAGCCAAAACCGGCTCGGCTCAGTGGCTAGAGCACATGTGTCAAACACAAGGCCCGCGGGCCAAATCCGTCCCGCCAGGCCTTGCAATGTGGCCCGCACCACGCTGTCATCACTGCACTCCGCTGCGTTTCCATCACAATGACAGTTTATGACTGTTCAGTAAACCATTCGGCCCGCGATTTAGGCTGGATTTTAGATTTTGGCCCCTTCTCTGATTGAGTGCGACACCCCTAGGCTAGAGTGTCGGCCTGCAGACTGAAAGGTCTCGGGTTGAATTTGGGTCCAGGGCATGTACCTTGGTTGCAGGCACATCCCCAGTGGGAGGTGTGTAGGAGGCAGCTGATCCATGTTTCTCTCTCACCGATGTTTCTAACTCTCTGTCCCTCTCCCTTCCTCTCTATAAAAAAAATCAATAAAATATATTAAAAAAAGAAAAAAATTCTTTCAAAAAAATTGGGACTTTTTAAAAAATATATATTTTATTGATTTTTCACAGAGAGTAAGAGAGAGGGATAGAGAGTTAGAAACATCGATGAGAGAGAGACATTGGTCAGCTGCCTTTTGCACATCCCCTACTGGAGATCTGCCTGCAACCAAGGTACATGCCCTTGACCAGAATCGATCCTGAGACCTTTCAGTCCACAGGCCAACGCTCTATCCACTGAGCCAAACCGGTTTCGCTGGAACTTTTTTTTTTTTTTTAAATGCTGCGGGATGTGGGAAAAAGTGTTGAAAATCGGGACTGTCCCGCCAAAATTGGGACGATTGGGTCACCTTACTGCAGTGTTTCCTGTTGTGGCCAGCAAGACCCGGTGGAGGCAGGGCTCCAGATGGCTAGCAGGACCCTTTTGAAGCAGGGCTCCAGGCCAGGGAAGGAACGAGCAACCAGACCCACAACAAAGCATGCAGCATGATATGCTTTGGCTAAGCATAACTGTTAGCCATAAAATAGTTCTGTTGCAGGGCTCAAACCCCAGGCAGCCACGCCCTGTTTCCAGTAGCCGCATGGCAGAGCAAACAGACCGAACCAGGTGAAACAGAGACTGCTTAAGCTGAAAATAAACCCCAGCCTCAGGTGTTGTATAAACTTTACATGTTACTGTACTAGTGGAATTTTTCTATAGCTTCTAACTGACCTTTCTTTGTTAAAACTTTTAGCCAATCATAGTCTGCCAGGCGTCCCTAAGACAGGGATAAAAGGAGCATGCTTAGAGTGGGCCGGGGCTCTCGCTGCTGGCTGCTGTGTCAGTTGAGACGTGAGCCCAGACTCTCTTGAATTCCAATGTGGCTGACTGGTGGTCGTCATTCGCGGGTCACCCACAACATTTCCCAAACGTTTGACATATGTGTGTGCCCCTTCTAGAATTTCCATAACGCTGAGTACCCCTCGTACTCATGAGAAGGTAGAATTAGGCGCAGCTAAGCACGGTGCAGTGCATATCCCCACCGAACTCCGGTGCAATGCGTTCCCCCACCAAACTCTCCCCGTACCCCTGGGGGTACGCGGACCGCACTTTGGGAGACACTGCAAGCGGCCGAGGAAGCTGCGCAGGCGCCAGCGGGGCGGCTCCAAGACCTGCGCCCCCCCCCGCACCCCCCCCCCGCATCCCCCTCCGGGCCCCCCACCTCCCGCCTCCCGCCTCCCACCCCCGCTCCCCGCTCTCACTTGTAGGCCACGTCGCAGTAGCCCAGCGTCCGCACGTGGTAGTGCTGCACGTTCTGCGCCTGCTGCAGGCACAGGGCCGGCGTGTCGCAGGGGCTGCCCGCCGTGTGCGACACCACCACGTAGGGCACGGGCACCTCCAGCTCCCGGGCGCACGTGGACGGCAGGGCCCCCCACTCACTGCGCGGCACGATGGTGCCGCAGCACGCCTCGTCCTCCGCCTTGAGCCCCTTGAGGGCGAGCAGGGCCCAGGCAAGCAGCGAGCAGAGCAGGGCCATGGCGAGGAGCAGGCGTGCAGGGCTGGCCAGGAGCGCAGCGGCCTTTATATGCTGGGGCCCGAGGGCGGGGGTGGGTGGGGGTGGGGGGTGGGAAAGAACCTTGCTTCACATCCTGGCAAGTTACAGGGACCCCAGGTTCCAGCTTCCTTCTCTGGCCTGGCTGCAACAGGATGCGAGTGGTTGGTTGGGCCTGAGGGAAGCGGGAGAGGGGTAAGGGTGAGGGTGGGGGAAGGGGACCCAGGGGCGGGGAGAGGCGCACAGGCCCCTGGGCACTTAGCCAGGTGGTTTCTGGAAGGCTCCCTCAGGGCCTGGATCCTTGCCCGCGTTGTCTCCTCCCAGTGGGCATTGCTCACCTCTCCAGAGAGAGGCCCCAGGCCTCTTCCTTCTTCCTGCAGAGAGGTCACCAGGCTGCCTGTGTTTTAGTTCTCCCATTCCCAGCCCCAAGCCCGAGGTCATTTCACCCTCTCTGCGAACCGGAGAGGGGAGTATGGAGAAGCCCACTTCACAGCTGGGTACACTGAGGCTGGGGGAAGGGAAGTCAGGTTGTGGAGTCCGGGGGCCCAGAGCCTGGACTCAGAGCCAGGCTGCCTGCAGCTGAATTCTGGCCACATCCCAGTGTGTGGGCTCAGGCAAGTGGCCCAGCCTTTTCTGTGCCTCGGATCCCCCCACCTGCAAAATGGGGGAGGTGTTTAAAAACAGGGTCCTTGTGGGATTAAATGGGGTGACAGCGCTGAGCCTTCAGAGGATGCCTGACCCATAGTGTCACGTAAGCTCCACTGGGACTTGAATTCATGTCTGTCCTGGTAGTAAGCAGCATGCTTTATGTGGGTGCCCCTACCGGCTCCGCGCTGCACAGGAGGGGATCTGGGGTCCCGAGAGGAACAGTTGTTTGTCCAGCGCCAGGCAATGGCTTGGGGCCACCTGTTGGAGCAGAAAGCTTTCCTGGGGCTTCTGCTCTGCCAGGACCTCTATCCCACTCCCCGATAGAGACCTGGTGAGCTCAGAACAGACTGCCTAGTTTGCTCATCCTCCTTTCCTGCTACTTTATTGGGGGAGGGGGGTGGACGTGGGATGGGGGGAGACAGCCTGGCCAGCATGGCTCAGTGGCTGAGCATTGATCCATGAACCAGTAGGTCATGGTTTGATTCCATTCCTGGTCGGGCCACATGCCCTTATGGGTTCATTCTCCGGAGGGAGGCGTGCAGGAGGTAGCCAATCGATGATTCTCTCTCACCATTGATGTTTCTCTCTCTGTCTCTTCCGCTCTGAAATCATTAAAAAATATATATTTTAAAAGATGACAAAAGGGTTGGGGCACTGGGTGGAAGAGGTGAAGGGACTAAGAAGCATGAATTGGTAGTTACAAAATAGTCAGGGGCACATAAGTAAAGCATAGGGAATATAATCAATAATGTTGTCATGACTATGTAGGAATACTGCATAAAGCATATGATTGTCTAATGGCTAAGCTGTACACCCAAAACCAATACATAAATAAAAATGATGAAAAAAATGACAAAAATGACACATGCTAGCTGTAAGAAGTTGAATTGAGACGAAATGTTAATCACCCGTGTCCTGCTTTCTCCTGCTCTGCCCACCTGAGGACACCAATGAGAACACTGTGGTATGTTTTCTTCCACCGTATTTTCCATGCTCAGGTAGATCATGCTTATACTCACAATAGCACAGAATGGCACACCAGGTATCTCCAAGCGTTCTTCCTGGATTACCTCCTCATCTGTTCCCAGCAGGTCTGTGCGGTAGATTCATTATTAACCCCTTTTACAGCCAAGGAAACAAGCCAGAGGCCTTACCTCCCTTTGAAGATGGGGATGCCAGGGTTTAGGCACAGGCTTCCTAGTTCCAGAGATTAAATCCTAAACCATATATTCCACTACCTGCAAACATATAGAAGGACAAGTATCTATAATAGTAAAAGCATAATATGCTAATTAGGATGGACATCTTTCTGGACAACCTTCTGGATAAAGCCAGGGCTGCGAGGACCAAGGCGGCCGCCCCAGCGGGCGGGGGCCAAGGCAGAGGAGGCAGCCGCAGCGGCGGTGGTGGTGGTGGTGGTGGTGGTGGTGGTGGCGAGGGCTGAGCCCCTTGCATGAATTTCGTGCACTGGGTCTCTAGTTAAAAAACAAAAACCACACGTATCACTTTGTCTTCTGTCACCTAGTATTTAATGCACATTGCCCCAGGTTACTACATCTAGTTTATTTTTTCTTTTAATGTATAATAGACAATTTTATTTAAAGTTTTCAAACTTGCAGAATGCTACCTTTTTTTTGGGGGGGGGCAGGGGCATAAAATAGGTACTAAGAGCATCAACTCATGGTCAGAAATTAAACAACCAGTTTATGATAGTGGTTACCTTTGATGGAGGGAAATAGGGCTGAGAAAGGGCATATGGGGGTCCCCAACTGTAATGCTTCTTTTCTTTTTTTTTGGGGGGGGTATTGCTTATTTTCTTGAAAATCAGGAATATACACAGCCTTTTAGCTACATCCTTTCAAGTATTTAATCATTTTAAAAAATCAATTTTTAAGTGAATGGTAGAAAGATGGTAAGAGTATAGCTAAAGAACTAAACTGAACCTCTACATTTTTTTTTCTCCTAAAAAAATAAGGGTCTTTTAAGTAAACTTGTGCCAGTTTCAGATTCTTGGCAAATACTTTCAACAATTCTATACATTTTGTAGTAGGTCTATTTTTATAGATGAAGCCAGATGTTGAGATATCATTGTTATCCCTGATCGTTTAGGCTCAGTGGATAGAGTGGACTGAAGGGTCCCAGGTTCGATTCCCATCAAGGGCATGCACCTTGATTGCGGGCACATTTCCATTAGGTAGGGGTGTCGAACTCAATCAGAGAAGGGGCCAAAATCTAAAATCCAGCCTAAATCGCGGGCCGAATGGTTTACTGAACAGTCATAAACTGTCATTGTGATGGAAACGCAGCGGAGTGCAGTGATGACAGCGCGGTGCGGGCCACATTGCAAGGCCTGGCGGGACGGATTTGGCCCGCGGGCCTTGTGTTTGACACATGTGCTAGGGGATGTTCAGGAGGCAGTTGATCGGTGTTTCTCTCTCTGGATGTTTCTAACTCTCTATTCCTCTCCTTTCCTCTCTGTAAAAAATGAATAAAATATATTTTTAAAGAAGATGTCATTGTTAAATGGTCTACTGAACATTTGAACACAGGTATTATTTAATCAGTTTGCAAACCAAGAAGGGGTAATTCCTCTTGAAAAGGCTCGTTTAAACTATACACTCCATAATCGTTCTGTGTCAGAGGACGTTAGCTATACATTGCAAGGCTGGTGGGGAAAATGGTTAAGGGAAAGGGGTCAATGTCAGGAAGCGTTAGCGTTAGCAAGGTCCTTGGGGTGGGAAGAAACAGAACTACAGCGCTGGTGGCCTTCAGAGCCTTGAACAAGACAAGTCTCTAAAAAAGTAACCAAGAATTGGCAGCTTGTTCACTGTACAGAAGGACGGATGAGCAGATGAATATCCCTGTTTCTTCCTGAAGGGAGGATTACTGGCTGGCTCAGATTTGGCAGCCATGGGGCCTATTGTTAGCCTCCTGAACCGAACCTGTTGTGTCCCAGTGACATGGAGGCGGGACGTCATTGTCAGTCAGAAGTCAGTTTGTGCTTCTCCAGGAAAGCCTGCCACAAAGAAAAGGTACACACGACTGAAACCGGTTTGGCTCAATGGATAGAGCGTCGGCCTATGGACTGAATGGTCCCGGGTTCGATTCCAGTCAAGGGCATGTACCTTGGTTGTGGGCACATCCCCAGTAGGAGGTGTGCAAGAGGCAGCTGATCGATGATTCTCTCTCATCGATGTTTCTAACTCTCTATCCCTCTCTCTTCCTCTCTGTAAAAAATCAATAAAATATATTTAAAGAAAAGGTACACGCAGTACTTTCAGTGACTGTCTTTGGCAAAGTCACTTAACCTCTCTGGTCTTCAGCTTTCACATCACTAAAACAATACTCTCATAGGAACTGAGGAGACTGGATTCAATAAAATGCCTATAAATTTTAGATCCAGAAGTCTTCCAGGATGTTAATCTTCCTTTCTAACGTTCCTTCTAGGTATAATATCACTTATTCACTTTAGATCCTTGCTTCTAAGTTACTTGTAACCTTCCTATTTCCAAATTTTCGTCCCATGCTTTACCCTCGACCCTATTAACAACCTAAACCCAGGAAATTTAACTTTACTCTTCTTAGGACTTCTATAGCACAATGGATATTCATCATAAGCTGGGTAATCATATGTATGTTCTGGTTTTCACTTGTCTTAGCATGATGAAGACTACCCTAATCATAATTTACTTGTAGATTAAAATATTTGAGAGCAGAGTGTTTGCATCCTATATAATAAAAGCCTAATATGGTAGGTGTCCAGTCGACTGGTTGGCCCTTCTACCAATCAAAGTGTGATATGCTAATGATATGCTAAGCCTGCTCAACTGCTCACTATGACATGCACTGATCATCAGGGGGCAGATGCTCCGACTGGTAGGTTAGCTTGCTGTTAGGGTCCAGCTGATCGGGAATGAGTGAGACGGGCCAGACATGCCCTAGAGCCCTCCCACAGCCCCTCCCCGGCTGGCCAACCTCCCCTGTTTCTCCCAGGCCCTGACTGTGCACCCTCCTGCAGTCCGGGACCCCTGAAGGGATGTCAGAGAGCTGGTTTCTGCCTGATGGCAGAATGACCAGTGCCTGTGATACACACTGACCACCAGGGGGCAGACCCTGAATGCAGGAGCTGCCCCCTGTGGTCAGTGTGCTCCCACAGGGGGAGCACCGCTCAGCCAGAGCCTGGGCTCACGGCTGGCGAGTGCAGCAGTGGTGGCAGAAGCCTCTTCCACCGTCTCCACGGCAGCAGTGCTAAGGATGTCTGACTGCTGGGACCAGGCCTAAGCCAGCAGTCAGACATCCTCTGAGGGCTCCCAGACTATGAGAAGGCGCATGCCGAGTTGAGGGACCACCCCTCCCCCCAAAGTGCACGAATTTCATGCTCTGAGCCTCTAGTTGTATGTGATAGCCAAAATCCTTCCTTGTATAAGGTAGCTTCTGATGTTAGACAAAGTGTAGTCTTTTCATCACATCCATTATGCGGTCTCTCCAATGCTCTATCAAGCTCTCACGTGTCAAAATGCAACCACTCTGCACTGCCTCTCATAAAGGAAAGATAAGTGCCGGAAACCAATCATTGTCTCACTAATAGAAAGAGGCTGGTCAGCCTTGAAGCTCTGAAAGGTGAGAGCCAACCACTCCCTATCTAACTGAGACAATGGTAACTGAGGCAACTTCCCCATCTTGTAATCATGTAAATCCTTACTGATATGATAATCTGCTTTTACCTGCCTAAGGGCTATGGGTGTTTTCCAAAGCTGCTTAAGGGTAATGGGTGTATCCCATAGCCTCAATAAAAGGGACCCAAAGCCAGAGCCTAGTGGTAGTCTTCCCACTAGAGGTTGACTCCTGCCTGGATGCCATTTTGTCCCAAATTAACTCTTTTCTAGTCTCTCTCTTCATTTTAGTGTGCAGCCTCCTCCAGAAACCGGACTCTGAGTGGGCCCTGAACCATGCAGGTCGTGTTAAGGGTTCCCACAGATAAGGTCCAGAGTGTTCAGGCAGATTGTAGGTTAGAGAAGGAGCTAATCATTAACTACCCTGTTTCCCCGAAAATAAGACAGTGTCTTATATTAATTTTTGCTCCCAAAGATGTGCTAGGTCTTATTTTCAGGGGATGTCTTATTTTTCCATGGAGAAGAATATGGTACACATTTATTGTTAATGAAAATAAAGGAAATTTATTACCTGTATACTGTACGGTAGTACGGTAGTTGTCAACACAAACCAGAGAAACTGTGAATCCTACAATATCAAGAATTTACTCATTTATTCAATGACAATCATGTCGTCATCTTCTGGAACATCATCATAGCAATCCAATTCCTGAATTTCCTGGTGAATTTCTTGTGAGTCCATTTCTTTCAGAATCAGTGGACCAAATCTCTCATGTTTAGCCTAGGGGAGGCCTTATTTTGGGGGGATGCCTTATATTTCACTCAGAAGGAAACCTGTAAGTAGGTCTTATTTTCGGAGGATGTCTTATTTTCGGGGAGACATGGTAGAGAAGAATCAGCATGTGATAATGGTTAATATCTGGGAAAGAAACCAAAACCGAGAAACTTAACAATTAAGTTATAGTCTCTGAAGACAAGATGGTCCTAGCCTAGTGGTTGGCAAACTCATTCGTCCACAGAGCCAAATAGCAATAGGACAACGATTGAGATTTCTTCTGAGAGCCACATTTTTTAAACTTAAACTTCCTCTAATGCCACTTCTTCAACATAGACTCGCCCAGGCCATGGTATTTTGTGGCAGAGCCACACTCAAGGGGCCAAAGAGCCGCATGTGGCTCGAGAGCCACAGTTTGCCGACCACGGGGCTAGCAATAGGGAGGCCAAGGCTTGTTGCGAGCTCTAAGGGTCAATGGGAGGTAAAAGAGGACACAGGTGATACTTCCAACAATAAAGATAAAAGAACACAAAACACAAGTTCTTAACAGACAGCCTAATGCAGACAGTGCTTTCCTTCTTACAAGAAGGGAAAAGGCTGAGATTGTAAGGGTTGATCTTTTCAGCTGGAGCTGAGGTCTTAAGAGAAATAAATGTGCTTCCGTTTCTCAAGTCTTCATGCTTTCTGGGGGCAGGGGGAGAGATCCAGCGCCCGCTGAGTGCATACCACAAGAAGCCATGATGGAAACAGTACAGATTCTCACCAAGCTGCAGTAACTCTTTTATCTTTTTAAAAAAATATTTTATTGATTTTCTTTTTTTTACAGAGAGGGATAGAGAGTTAGAGAAACATGGATCAGCTGCCTCCTGCACACCCCTCACTGGGGATGTGCCCACAACCAAGGTACATGCCCTGGACCAGAATCGACCCTGGGACCTTTCAGTCCCCAGGCCGACGCTCTATGCATTGAGCCAAACCGGTTTCAGCTGCAGTAACTCTTTGAAACGCATGGAGAAGGGTCCCCTTTTTTCGATGGTTCCATGGGTAATTCCCTAATAGCATCTGCAGCATCGTTACTCTTGTGCTTCAGGCCTCCGACTGCCTTGGCTTTCGACACATTTGCTTGCGACACGACCAATTCTGTGTCCTTCACGCCCACACCTGTTTCATCAGCCTCGTCCTCTTCCCGCTCCTCCAGGACAGATGGAGCCCGTGTGTTTTCTTGAGTGTCCGAGACAGCTTCACCTTGAACGTTGGACTTCTCAGCAGCGGCTGGCTGTGCTTGCTGAGATAAATCCTCGATCTTGGCTTCTCCCCCCACAACTACGTAGGCATCGGAAGCAGGGCTCTTGCAGACTTCTGGCTTTGTCTAGTAGTGAGATGGGCTGGACATGCCCGAGAGCCCTCCCACAGCCCCGCCCCCGGCTGGCCAACCTCCCCTGTTCCTCCCGGGCCCTGACTGTGGGGTCCCGTGGCCTGGTCTGCACCCTCCTGCAGTCCGGGGCCCCTGAGGGGATGTCGGAGAGCTGGTTTGGGCCTGATGGCAGAATGACCAGTGCCTATGATGCACACTGACCACCAGGGGGCAGGCCCTCAATGCAGGAGCTGCCCTCTGTGGTCAGTGTGCTCCCACAGGGGCCCTTCATGGAAATGCAGGTAACCTCCAGATTTTTGTGTCCAGCCTAGAACTTGCAACTGATAGAGGATATTCTTAGATTTCCATTTGGGGGCCCTGGGAACCCCTGTAAGTTGTCCAAGACCCAGTTTGGACCTAGCCTCCTGCGCCTGCTTTTCAGCCGAGCTCTGTTTTGCTTTACTGACTGGTTCTTCTTCGATTTTAGCTGCTGCTGCCGCCAGGCGGGTGCTGGCCGGAGCTCTGGTACTGATCCATCAGGGTCAGATTCTGTTCCAGACCCTGCCTCAGCCTGGGGCTGTGGCAGCTCCTGCTCTGAAGCAGGGATGGGACCTGTGGCTTCACCAGGTAGGGCCAGTGGGGGCTGGCGGGCCAGGGAGGGACTGCGGGAGGGTTCCTGTCCCTCTGGCCAAGTCCCATTGGCAGGACCCCAGCAGCAAGCTAACCTAACCTCCCGGTCAGAGAGTCTGCCCCCTGGTGGTCAGTGCCCATCATAGGGACTGGTCAAGTGATAGGTCTTGGTAACTTTAATTGGCATTTTTATGACCATTCAGGAGAACGAGTATTTTTCTATGTATGCTGTCCATTTGGATTTGCCAATCGGATTTGTCAATTGTCTGTTCATCTCCCTTGTCCATTTAAAAAATAAATTGGGGCCGAAACCAGTTTGGTTCAGTGGATAGAGCGTCAGCCTGCAGACTGAAAGGTCCCGGGTTTGATTCCAGTCAAGGGCTGTACCTTGGTTGCGGGCACATCCCCAGCAGGGTGTGTGCAAGAAGCAGCTGATCGATGATTCTCTCTCATCGATGTTTCTAACTCTCTATCCCTCTCTCTTCCTCTCTGTAAAAAACAAAACAAAAAAAAAAATCAATAAAATATATTAAAAAAATAAGTTAGGGTGTTTGCTGTTCTGTTATCAACTTGGAGAGTGGAGAAAAGAATGTCGTAGCTGGTATTGCTGAGTTGTTGGATATGTACATTTTGTGTCTCAGTTCTTTTTGAAAGCATGAGAGACTAACGCACGTACAGACCAATGTTCAGATGTACTTTTTGTAGGCTTACTAGAATTAGGGGAGTGGAGAGCTCTATTAATTTCCACATCATGAACACGCCCAGAGCTACATTTAAAACAATAGTAGGTATTGCCAAACACCATTTCACAAAATGTATTGCCAAACACCATTTCATTCCTTCCCTGTCACCACGGCAATGTGATCAGTTTCAAAATGCTTCACCAGCCCAGCGGATGGTATCTTATTAGTGTTGTATCTGCAACTTCTTGAACATCAGAGAGGGTTTCGTCTTTTTACATATTTATGACTACAGCCATCTTCTGCAAACTGTTAACCTTTTAAAAACATTTTTATTGATTTCAGATAGGAAAGGAGGGAGGGAGGGAGGGAGGGAGGGAGGGAGAGAGAGAGAGAGAGAGAGAGAGAGAGAGAGAGAGAGAGAGAGAGAGAGAGAGAGAGAGAGACACATATCAATGATGAGAAAGAATCATTGATTGGCTGCCTCCTGCATGTCCCCCCTATTGGGGATGGAGCCCACCGGCTAGGGCAGACCTTGCTTTAAATTTTAGCTCTACCACTTATTAGCTGGCTGATCTCAGGCAATTGGGCAGCATTTGGCACAACTGGCCACTTCCTTCTCGCAATACGCTCTTCCCTTAGCTTCTGTGTCATAAGACTGCCTGGGTTTTCCTTCTGCTCCTGTGGCTGGTCCTTTTTGTCCCTTCCACTCGTTCTTCCCTGTTTGTTACACTTCTCCTGCCAGGTGGTCCTATCCAGGTAATGGCTTCAGCACCCACTGACGTGCAGATAACCTCCAGGTTTTTATTTATTTATTTTTTGTTTATTATTATTATTTTAAATATATTTTATTGATTTTCCACAGAGAGGAAGGGAGAGGGATAGAAAGTTAGAAACGTCGATGAGAGAGAAACATCGACCAGCTGCCTCCTGCACACCCCTTGGCTGGGATGTGCCCGCAACCAAGGCACATGCCCTTGACTGGAATCGAACCTGGGACCTTTCAGTCCGCAGGCCAACGCTCTATCCACTGAGCCAAACCGGTCTCGGCTATAAGTGTATTTCTTGTATCACATGATCTCATGCATCTAGGGGAAATAATGAACAACATAAACTGATGAACGTAAACAGACCCGGAGACAGGAAAGCATCAATCAGATAGTCAAACCTCAGAGGGCGTGTAGGGGAGGGTGGGGGTAAGAGGGAGAGATCTATCAAAGGACTTGTGTGCATGCATATGAGCCTAATCGGTGGTCATGGACAACTGGGGGGTGTGGGCATACGTGGGGAGGGGTTTAGATTGGGAATGGGGGGATGAGGACAAATATGTGATACCTTAATCAATAAAGAAATTTAAAAAAAACATTAAAAAATGAGTCACATTTTTCTGTGGCTTCTCATGACTCTCAGGAAGGGTCCCAAGCTCCTCACCATGGCTGCCTTTACCCGCCCACCTCACTCACTCCCTCTTCCTGCATCTCCCCCTCCCCCCCATTTCTGGCTGCCCTTGAAGATGCTTTGACCGCCCTGCCCCTGAGCGCACAGCTTTAAACCGAGGAAGCTTGTGCAACCCAGGAACCTCGTACCTTAGCCTTAAGGTTACAAAACAGGCAGCCGGCCTTTTGTCAATATTTGGGCGTCAGGTTCCTCCATGATAATAAGACGGTAATTATGAGCCGGGGGTGGCGGTGAGGTCTTCTCTTGTTAGAATTTTATCTGGTCTGCATCGTATCCGCCTGAAATGGTGACGTGCACGTGTGAGCACTCGCTGACACGTTAGTCATTGGGCAGTTGTTCTATTGCCTTTCATCTCAAGGTTTTCTAGGAGGAAATTCAATTAGATTTGCTCCCCGCATGCTTTAGGAAGTTAACATTTTAAATATTTAACTTATCGAGAGTGCGAGAGTGCGGATGGAGGCCTCCTCTTGCTAAGCAGGTGCGGCTCAGTGGATAGAGCATCGACCTGGGGACTCAAGGGTCCCAGGTTCGATTCCGGTCAAGGACATGTGCCTTGGTTGCAGGCACATTCCCAGTAGGGGGCGTGCAGGAGGCAGCTGATCGATGTTTCTCTCTTATCGATGTTTTTAACTCTCTATTCCTCTCCCTTCCTCTCTGTAAAAAAATCAATAAAATATCAATATATTAAATAAATAAATAAATATTGAACTTACCTACTGCCTTTATGTGGTCGCGTTACAGTTAATCCAGCCAGTTATAAAGACTCACCGGGTTCTCTTGCCGCTAGCAAACGACACGTGTGTTCCTTGTTGTATCGACAGGGGTAGGAGTACGATTAGATGGTGGTTGGAAAGAGGGCAAGTGCAAAACACAATGCAGAGTTTTCATTTTTTTTTTTCCCTTGACATTCCCCAGCCTGCAACGCTTTCTCTGCTCATTTTCCTTTCCCCGTCCTAATTGTCACAGACAATTCCTTCCCGGTTACCTCTGAAGAGGTGACCGATTAATCCCCTCATTTGCTTTCCCTGCGTGGTTTCTGCTCCTTCGTACCTATCATAACTGTGGTTATTAACTCACCTGTGCCATCTTTTGATTCATTTCTGTCTCTGCGGTACAGTGAGGTCTAGACGTAGTGCCGTGGTTCTTTTTCCCAGCCTTACAGAGGGTTCAGCCTTCTGGAGAAAGGGCTGCGCATAGATGATTAAGAATCAAATATATATAAATAATTTAAATTTATTTTATTGATTTTACAGAGGAATTGAGAGGGATAGAGAGTTAGAAACATCGATGAAAGAGAAACATCGACCAGCTGCCTCCTGCACACCCCCGAATGGGGATGTGCCCGCAACCAAGGCACGCGCCCCTGACCGGAATCGAACCCGGGACCTTTAAGTCTGCAGGCTGATGCTCTATCCACTGAGCCAAACCAGTTTCGGCAAGAAGATATTTTTGAAAGGCATTGGGGGTCAGAGGAGCTTCCAGCTGAAGGAGCTAGAAGGCTCTCACCTTGACCAAGGAACCTGCTTTTATTAGTACAATTTGTCCCAAGGCAAGGTGGAAATATACACTTCATAGGGTATGGTGTCAAAAGGTATACAGAAACATTATCAGTCTGGGGAGGAGCCTACAGCTGTTCAGGTGTTTGGCCAACAGGAGGCAATAAAATGCCCTGAGCTGTCTGGCAGCAAACTATTATCCTATTCAGGTTTGGGGGAAGTGCCGTTTAGCCGTTTCCAACAGGTAGACTACATGTGTGGCTCACCCTTGTTGAGCCTCCCAAGCGTCACCAACCTTTTGGGAAAACTCTTGTAATTATTTACATGCTGGAATAGGTTCTCAGCACATAGGGTCATGGTATCCTTTATTACCCAAACAGTGACACCTGAGAGTCAAAGAGGGAGGAGCGATGACTTATTCTGTGTCGACAGGTGTACCTGGTCCGTCCCCACTAACCCAGGATGGGCAATTTCCCCATTTAAAGACAAAGAAGGGATGCCGAAACTGGTTTGGTTCAGTGGATAGAGCGTCGGTCTGCAGACTGAAAGGTTCCAGGTTTGATTTCGGTCAAGGGCATGTACATCGGTTGAGGACATATCCTCAGAAGGGAGGTGTGCAAGAGGCAGCTGGTCGATGTTTCTCTCACATCCATGTTTCTAACTCTCTATCCCTCACCCTTCCTCTCTGTAAAAAACCAATAAAATATATTTTAAAAATAAAAATAAAATGAAACAAAGAAAAGAACAACAACAAAGAAATAAAGACGAAGAAGGGGCCATCAGGTCCCCTCTCCCTCCTCACTGCACCTCCCGTTGCTAAGCGCATAGTTGGAGACAAATGCCTGTGAGAGTCACACATGAAGCCGCCCTCAGTTTCTCTGTCTGTGAAATGGACCTAAGGACAGCCGGTACCTCCCAGGGCAGGGGTGGGCCTCGGGCGGCCCTCGGGAGCATGTTCCCGGCCAAGAGTGCGGATGGAGGCCTCCTCTTGCTGAGCAGGTGAAAGTTAGAGTCAAGCCAACAGCGGCTGATAGCAATGCGTGTCCCGCTTCACAAAAGCACCCGCAAAAAGGTGAAGCAGAAAGCTGTGTGCACAGCAGCAGCCCACACCCAGTGACTGTGGACCAGGCGCTTTCACAAGGGTTTCCTTTTCCGTGGGAGACCCAGGAAATCGCACCCTGGGGAGCTGGGTGGGAGGAGGGGAGCAGGCAGTCTTCTCCCACTTTTTTTTTTTTTTTAAATACTAAATATATTTTATTGATTTTGTACAGAGAGGAAGGGAGAGAGATAGAGAGTTAGAAACATTGATGAGAGAGTCATCCATCAGCTGCCTCTTGCACACCCCCTACTGGGGACCAAGGTACATGCCCTTGACCGGAATGAACCCGGGTCCCTTCAGTCCCCAAGCCGACGCTCTATCCACTGAGCCAAACCGGTTTCGGCTGTCTTCTCCCACGGTTGTTGACTCGGTCCCTCTTTGGTCATTTGGGAAACTCACGTGATAAGTCCCCGTTTTTTCCTTCTTCCCTGCGGGGGAGGGCACTGCTCTCTCGGGGGGAGCGGACTGCTCCCCTTCGCTCCTGTCTGGGGTCTCCTCCCTTCCTCGGGTGAATGCGTCTCTTCACATCCCTTTGGTAAAACTTTTGTAATTATTACACGCTAGAATAGGTTCTCAGCACGTAGGGTCATGGTGTCCTTTATTGTCCTGCGGGCCACTCCAACGAAGTTCCCCAGCGGAACCTCGGCGGAAAGACTCCATTGGAACCTGGAATTACTTGGATTTTTTTTTTTTTTTTTTTTTTTTTTTTTTTTTTTTTTGTTAACCCTCACTGGAGGATATTTTCCCACTGACTTTTATTTTCTTGTTTTTTTTAAAAAAATATATTTTACTGATTTTTTTTACAGAGAGGAAGGGAGAGGGGTAGAGAACTAGAAACATCCATCAGCTGCCTCCTGCACCCCCTCCCCACCCCCACTGGGGATGTGCCCGCAACCAAGGTACCAGAATCGAACCTGGGACCCTTCAGTCCGCAGGCTGATGCTCTATCCACTGAGCCACACTGGTTTCAGGCCCCCTCCCCCACTGACTTTTAGAGAGAGTGGAAGGGAGAGAGGGAGAGGGAGAGAGAAACATTAGTGTGAGAGAGACACATCGATTGGTTGCCTTCTGCAAGGAAGCTGGGGATTGAACCAGCAACCCAGCTATGTGCCCCTGACCAGGAATCAAACCCCTGGCCCTTCGGTCCACCGGCCGATGCTCTAACCACTGTGCAAACTGGCCAGGGTAGAGTTCCTGGAGGCTTCTGGAGAGCAGGCTCCTGGCTCTCAACCAGCAGCCCACCCCTCTTTTTCAACCCCCCTTCCCCGTCTCATCATGGGCCTCCTGTGCACCCCATTCGCCTGCCCCAGATCTGCCTACAGCCCCTGAAATGGGGGGGGGGGGGGTTAGGGGTTCATGCCTGTCCCCCTTGCATCACGGACTCAGGGAAAGGCCCAGACACGTTCTGGGAGGAGGCTAGGGGCGGCTGCCTGCTCTGGGAATTCTGGGGGCTTGAGGCCCAGAGCATGTCCAGAGCAAGCGGCCCATCTTGCTTTTGGGGGATCCCTCGTCCTGTGGGGGAGACTCAGGCCTGAGTCTAATGGCAGGATGGTTGCTGGTTCCTTTCCACACAACTTACTGACTGCCGGGGTCCGGCCCCAGAGGTGCAGGGGTCCCCAAAGGGGTGGACGGCATCGACGAAGAATGAAGGACATGGAGACAGCACTCAGATCATCAGCATCATCAGGTTCTCCCCCTTTATTGCCCTGTTACAACTGTACTTACACTATTTTTTTAAAAAAAGTATATTTTATTGATTTTTTTTTTTTTTTTTTTTTTTTTTTTTTTTTTTTTTTTTTACAGAAAGGAAAGGAGAGGGATAGAGAGTTAGAAAGATCGATCAGCTGCCTCCTGCACACCCCCTACTGGGAATGTGCCCACAACTAAGGTACATACTGTTGACTGGAATCGAACCTGGGACCCTTCCGTCCGCAGGCTGACACTCTGTCCACTGAGCCACACCGATTAGGGCCATTTACACTGTTTGATTCTACAAGCATGTGTCTGTAGTTACATCCTGGTATGCTTTGGTCTCCCCTTTGACCTTTCACAGTTTCTCTTGTTTTATGTTTACAGTTTCTTGTCTGACCTTTGCTAAAAAAAAAAATAAAAAAAAAATCTCATTTCTACTTAGCTCTGCTGATTTTAATCTTATCTGTTGCCTATGTGTCTACATTCTATCCTAAAGGCTAGTTTCCGTGTCCCATTATAAGGGCTAGATTGTTATTTCTATTCTCAGGTTACCATGCAATTGCCCTGCTGTTAAGCTACGAGGAAATAACCGAAGGTTTCCCTATTCTGTGGCCTAAGTAAAGGTTAGGGAGCTTAAGCGTGTTAATTCTTAGCTACGGTGACTAGTCACCTATCTGGCACTTAGTTTAAGTCTTTCTGCTTGCAGAGCTCATGTCAGATTTTTAGATAAGGAGCCTTCCTGCATTGTGTGCAGCGTTTTTTTTTTTCTTCCATTTAAAAAAATTTTTTTTAAAATACATTTTATTGATTTTACACAGAGAGGAATTGAGAGGGACAGAGAGTTAGAAACACCGTGTGCCACTGACGAGGAACGTAGACGAAGACCGTTAGCAATAAAGTTAGGACTTGCTGAAACCGGTTTGGCTCAGTGGATAGAGCATCAGCCTGTGGACTGAAAGGTCCCTGGTTCGATTCCGGTCAAGGGCATGCACCTTGGTTGCGGGCACATCCCCAGTAGGGGGTGTGCAAGAGGCAGCTGATCGATGACTCTCTCTCATCGATGTTTCTAACTCTCTATCCCTTTCTCTTCCTCTCTGTAAAAAAAATCAATAAAATATATTAAAAAAATAAAACAAATAAACAACAACAACAACAACAACAGCAAACCCAGCATGCCATATACGCCAGGTTCCTTGGAACATATGCTGTGCAGATGTTTCTTCCTTGCAGCGACTGTGTCAAGCAGCAAGGATGGAACGGCTTCCGGCAACTGACCACCTACTGTGCGCTCCGCCTACCTGCTGAAGGTGCTGGCAATGCAGCTGTGAACAGAAGTTCTTGCCTTCACATTCTAGTGGGGGAAGACAGACAGTAAAGAAAGAAAATAATCCCTACTAAAAATACATATACTGATTGCACGCGGTTGCCTAGGAGCCCGGTGCCTGGCGGGGAACAGGACCAGGGAGCATCATCAGCTGCGACCTTGGGATTGGTCCTTGCGCTGGGGAAAGGCAGCAGCATCCCTCGTCGCTGTTGCCTCCTTTGGCCGCCAGAGGGCGAGCGGCAGCGGGGTGCTCTCTAATACGTTCTAACAGGATGAAGCATCTTAGAGCCATGAGTATGGATGAGCAAGCGGCACTTTGGTCCCTCACATCTGTCTGAGTCACTAGCACCATTAGCAGAAGGGGAGGGCTGGAGGAGAGAGAGTGGGGGAGTTAAAGGGGGGGGGGAGAGAGAGAGAGAGAGAGAGAGAGAGAGAGAGAGAGAGAGAGAGAGAGAGAGAGAGAGGCTGTTGTAAGCAGAGCCATCAGGATGAGCAAGGCATGAAGGAGAGAAGAGGCAGGACACTGTTGTGAAACCATAAGAGACTTGATGTTGCTGGGGCCTAAAGGACCAAGGTGTGTGGGAAGCCAGGTCTGCAGGATTTCTGGGACTTGTCTGGTGACACTGAGGGGCTCAGCTTCGTGCTGTGGGCACTGAGGAGCCAGGGAAGAGCATATATGGATGGGAGTGATGTGAGCCACTTTGCATTAAAATATATATATATATTTTATTGATTCCGGAGAGGAAGAGAGGGAGAGATGGAAACGTCAATGATGAGGGAGAAACCGTTGGCCAGCTGCTCCTGCACGCCCCACACTGGGGATGGAGCCTGCAACCCCGGCATTGCCCTGAGCAGGGATCGAACCGTGACCTTCTGGTTCATAGGTTGACGCTCAATCTCTGAGCCACACTGGCCAGGCACCACTTTGCCATTTTTTGGGAGATCCTTCTGGGGAGCGGAGGGAGGTGGAGGGGGAGATAGACACTCTTGGAGGGCACCTATGACCACGAAAGCTCTGGAAACCAATTTTCAACCAGGAGGCAAGTCACGATCAGTGTGGTCCAGGCTCCAGAGGCACAGAAGATGCGGGAAGAAACCAAGTCTGCGATAGTATCGCAGAGCCCCTGGAGGTAGCCTCTCCTGAGACCAACTCTTCCGAATTCCTTTTATTTTATTTTTATTTTTTAAATACATTTTATTGACTTTTTTATAGGGAGGAAGAGAGAGGGATAGAGAGAAACATCGATGAGAGAGAATCATCAATCAGCTGCCTCTTGCACACCCCCTACTGGGGATGTGCCCACAACCAAGGTACATGCCCTTGACCGGAATCGAACCTGGGAGCTTTCAGTCCGCAGACCGACGCTCTATCCACTGAGCCAAACCGGTTTCGGCCTCTCCCAAATTCTTCTGCCCTTTGACGCCTTCTTTTTCTGGGCCTCTGTTCACTTCATGGGTATCGAGGGCAAAAATGCTCTGCGCTTTCTCACCCCACCCTTTCGCCCTCTCCACCCTCCCTAGAGAACAACTTTCTCGCTGGCACAGGCTTATCAGAAACTCAGTTTTGAACTCAAGCAGTTAGAGGCCTGTTCCGTCCTCCCCCTGCCTTTTCTAAATATTTTCAATAGCACACAATAATGGAAGAAAAGAAAAAGAAGTTCTAAAGTTAGCTGTTGACAAGAATTTTAAAAGGACCCACTCACCTGGACAGTCCTGCCCCAGGGATTCAGAGAGAGTACTGATCTGTTTGGCCAGGCCTCACCCAGAGACCTCCGACAATGTCCGTTAGAACCCAGCACTCCCCTCCAGTAGGCAGATGATCTTCTCTGCTGCCCCTCCCTGGACACATCTCAGAGGCACACAGCTGGCCTCCATGGGTAGGATTTCTCCATCATTGGGTCCCAAATGTTTCTCTCCTGGCTAAGCCCTTATACCAGGTCTCCTCATCCACCCTCGTTCGCCAAGCTTTTTCTAACTCCGGGACACCCTTCTGCGCTCTCTCTCTCTCTCTCTCTCTCTCTCTCTCTCTCTCTCTCTCTCTCTCTCCTGGACATCTCTAAGCCTTTCCAACTATTTACTGATGACAGACAGGCAATAGCCATGGGGGTCCTCACCCTGCCCCTAGGGCCAACCTTCCCCCCATAGCCTACCTGCACTGACAGCTAGATCCCACAGTTTGGGGACTGCAGCCCTGCCTCTGGGCTCTGGCTGCAGCTGCTGTTCTCATCAAGGAGGCCCAGAAGATCTGCCTCCAGCTACCCTTACAGGTGTTCTCCACCATAGACCACAGGATCTTCTGTCACACTGATCCTGATCTCTCCTTAACTCCATCTCCTGTTCCTCCAGAGTCCTGACATCTCCCTGACCCAGTCCCCAGCCCTGACCCCAGCCACTCTCCTGCCTGCTGCCTCCACCCAAACTGCAGCGAAGTGTCGGGAGCCAAAAAAGAATTAGTGACTACATCTTAAAAGACACCTCCATCTTAGACACTGAGTTTCTGATTTACCAGAACTCGGTGACAAGCTGCGGTGTGGCAGTTAACTAGAAACAATCTAAATGCCTAGCAGCATATCTGGCCATTGAGCATGGCACACCTGTTGTGATAACTCGCCCCGCCCCGGAGAATCTCTGCTGTATCCTCCCCTGCAGGCACATCCTGCTGATACACAGCCCTCCCCGCCCTGGAATGTCTCCGTGGCAACTTTCCCCTACAACCTGTGTACATATATTGCAGCTGCAACAAATAAAATTTGAGGCTTGATCAGAACCCTGTTTTGCCTCCATTTCTCCGCGTCTCCTGTCCTCCCTCATTCCCTTCCAGGTGTCTCCTCGCTCCCACGTTGCTGTCCCGCTGGCCGGCGCAGCAAAGCACTCCTGCCCGAGGTTGTCAGAGGCGCTCACTCAACCTCGGTTGGGACTCTCAGATCTTCCTCTCTCTAATTCTGACTCAACTCTGTTTGTGGATGGAAGCTTGTGTCTAGACCCCCAGGAACATGGGAAAAACTCCTACGCGATTGTAACACTCAAGCGGACCCTGGAGATGGCCTTCATCCCTCTTCACCTCGTCCACACTGCGAGAGGCAGTCATGAGTGCCTGCTCTTCCTGCATTACGTGTGCAGCTGCCGCACCCCAACTTTCCTACCCATCAAATGAAGGGAACACCTCCCAGGGCAGACCGGCAGGTAGACTTCACCCATATGCCTCCCCACAAGAAGACCAAATATCTGCTCACCATAGTAGACACCCTGATAGGGTGAGCAGAGGCCTTCCCTACCTGCAAGGAAACTGCTGAGGTTGTGGCTGAGATCTTTATAACACACAGAATCTCTGGCATCTCCTGGAAACTGCACACACCCTACCACCCACATTTACCGGGTAAGATCCAGAGGAGCACCGGCTTCCTTAAAGACCATCTAACTGAACTCTCTCTCTCTAGAAATTCGCAGCTCCTGGCTGGACCTTCTGCCCATGGTCCTGACCGGAATCTGGGCTACACCAAGGAGCCCCACCTTTTTACCTCCCCAAGAATCTGACCCCCCAGGCTGTATTTCAGCTCCAGGCTCAGACAAGCAGCAAAACCAGACAAGTGATGCTGTGTCAGCCTCAGGACCAGCCTTGACCTCCTAAGTGATTCAACAGGATTGCTCTCGAGACCTTCACCAACCAGTCCCTTTGGGAAATTAGGTTGCTGTCTAGCCTCTTATCATTAGGCCAACTGGTGTCTATTTCTTTAAGTTTCCTCTTTACCTACCCCCTTTCTCATGCGCCGTGTCACTAGTCTTTTGCAGAACAGATTGCAGGCATTCACCAACCAGAAGTTGGGAGAGAACATAGCATCAGAATCCTTGAGATGCCGGGTAAAATCCCCTAACGATGTCCCCTCTCAGCTGGAAGCAGCTATGACTTTGCCCGGCCCCTGAACTTGCCTGGACTCTCAATTTTTAAAAATATAATATATCAAAAAGCATGGAATGTGAGATCCTCCCTCCCCCCAGCTGGTGGGCAGAGTTAGGACTTTACCGACATCTGCCGCCGCGGAGACATCCCCAAGACACTGAACCACCAATCAGCGTGTGTCGAGTGCCCTGGGGCCCACCCCTTCCTGTTCCACCCTGGGTCCAACCCTTTCTTGTTCTTCCCCTCTTAAGGCTCTTCAGTGCTCCATGAGTTGCTGTTCTCTCACCATCTGCGAGTCAGCCCAGCTGGGTCCTTTCTCCTCTCCCCGATCCTTTAATTCTGATTTCTCTACCTTCGTAATGAGTCCCGCTCATTACTGGGGAATAAACCTTCCCATATTTCTCTCTCTCTCTCTCTCTCTCTCTCTCTCTCTCTCTCTCTCTCTCTCTCTCTATATATATATATATATATATATATATATATATATATATATATATATATATATGATGAGAAATTACCCAATCTGAGAAAAAGAGAAAAAAAAGAAAAACAGAACAAAACCCTAAAAACTGTAGGACTATAACAAAAGATCTAATGTATATGTCCCAGAAGGAGGGAAGGAGAGTAGAACTGAAAAATTATTCAAATAAATAATAGATGAAAAAATTTCTAATTTGGCAAAATAAAGCCTAGGTGTATGGAATCCACACGAATAAAACCAAAGGAATTCATTCACTCAAGATACAACATACTCAAAGTTCTCACAACTAAATATAAAAGAAAATGTCTTGGCCCTGACTTGTTTGGCTCAGTGGATAGAGCATTGGCCTGTGGACTGAAAGGTCCCAGGTTTGATTCCTGGTCAAGGGCATGTACTTTGGTTGCAAGCACATCCCCAATAGGGGGTGTGCAGGAGGCAGCTGATGGATGCTTCTCTCTCATCGATGTTTCTAACTCTCTATCCCTCTCCCTTCCTCTCTGTAAAAAAAATAAAAAAAAAAAAAAAAAAAATCAATAAAATATATTAAAAAAAAAAGAAAAGAAAATGTCTTGATAGCAACAAGGAAGAGAAGAAACACCTTACCTGTAAGGAAAAAACAATTCAAGTGACAGCAGATTTCTCATCAGAAACCATGGAGGTCAGAAGGAAGGGGACCTAGTATTTTTCAATCACTAAAAGTAAAAAACTGTCAACCAGAATCCTCTATCCATATTCCTCAGAAATAAAGGGTGAAATGAAGATATCTAGATGAAGAAAACCTAAAAAAATTTGTTTCCTACAGATCTACCCTAAACAGATGGCTAAAAGGAAGTCTTGAAATGGAAAGGAAATGATAAAAGAAATCTTAAAACATCAAAAAGGAAGAAAGTACAACTCAGAGTAAAAGAAACACCGAAACCGGTTTGGCTTAATGGATAGAGCGTCGGCTTGGGGACTGAAAGGTCCCGGGTTCGATTCCGGTCAAGGGCATGTACCTTGGTTGCGGGCATATCCCCAGTGGGGGGTATGCAAGAGGCAGCTGATCGACGTCTATCTCTCATCGATGTTTCTAACTCTCTATCTCTCTCCCTTCCTCTCTGTACAAAATCAATAAAATATATTTAAAAAAAAAAAGAAAAAAAAAAGAAATAGATTTTCTCCTCTTTAGTTTTCTAAGTTACGGTCAATAGATTTTCACAAAGTTGTCAAGGTTGTTTGATGCAGAAAAGATAATCTTTTCTTTCTTTTTTTTGATTTCAGAGAGGAAGGGAGAGGGGGAGATATAAAACTTAACAATGAGAGAGAACCATTGATCTGTTGCCCGCTGCATGGCCCCCACTGGGGATCAGGCCAGCGCCTGGGCATGTGTTCCCAACTGGAGTTGAACTTGGGACCCGTCAGTCCATAGGCCAATGCTCTATCCACAGAGCCAAACCGGCTAGGGCAGGATGACCTTTTCAACAAATGATGCTGGAGGAATTGCCATATCCATTAAGATAAAATTAAACCTCAACATTTAAGCCTCTTGCCATACCAAAAGTTAACTTGCAGTGGGTCACAGGAATAAAAGATGATGCTAAGCCTTGGTTGGATAGCTCAGTTGATTAGAATACTCTACAGAGGGGAGGCAGGTTGAGGGACTGGAAGATATTAACCAAAGAACATATATGCATAGCTCATGGACACAGACAATAATGTGGTGAAGGTCTGGGGCTGGGGGCTGGGTGGAGGGTAAAGGGGAGAATTGGGGGACATTTGTAATAGTCAATAATAAAAACAAACAAACAAATAAAATAACTTCTTGTGGAAAAAAAGTACTTTGTACACTTAGTAGACCAAGACTTTATAACTAATTAATTAATCTTTATTGACTTTATTGGGGAGATCTTGGAAAATCTATACTAATAATAAAGGAATATGCAAATTGTCTGGGATGCCATCACAGTAACAGTAACAACTGAACAGCAGGCTGTGTGGAGTGACCAGGCCAGCAGCAGGGGCAGTTGGGGATGACCAGGCTGGCAGGGGGGACAGTAAGGGGCAATAGGGATGATCAGGTGGGCAGGCAGAGGTGGTTAGGGTGACCAGGCTGGCAAAGGGGACAGTTGGGGGTGACCCAGCCTGCAGGGGGGCAGTTAGGGGTAATCAGGCAGGCAGGCACATGAGCAATTAGGAACCAGGGGTCCCAGATTGTGAGAAGGATGTCCGATTGGCGGTTTAGGCTCGATTTCCAGCTTGGGCCTAAACCGGCAGTCAGACATCCCCCAAGGGGTCCCGGATTGGAGAGGGTGCAGGCTGGGCTGAGGGGACACCCCTCCTTGTGCATGAATTTCATGCACCAGGCCTCTAGTAAAACTATATCGGTTTCAGGTGTACAATTTTATAACACATTATCTGTATATTGTATTGAGTGTTCATCACCCAAAGTCAAATCTCCTTCCATTAGCATTTATCCCCCCTTTATCCTGTTCTATCCCCCCTCCCCTCCGTATCTCTCTGGTAATCACCACACTGTCTGTCTACGAGCTGTTTTGTTCTTTATCCCTTTCACCTATTTACCTAGATCCCCAGCCCCCTCCCCTCTAAGAGTTGCCAGTCTGTTCTCTGCATCTATGAGTCTCTTTCCGCTTTGCTTGTTAGTTTATTTTCTTCATTAGACCCCACAAATAAGTAAAATCATGTATAATTTTATTAACCCCAATAAAAAGACTGAGATACATACCGTGTTTCCCCCGAAAATAAGACATCCTCCGAAAATAAGACCTACTTACAGGTTTCCTTCTGAATGAAATATAAGGCATCCCCCCGAAAATAAGGTCCCCCTACGCTAAACATGAGGGATTTGGTCCACTGATTCTGATAGAAATGGAGTCACAAGAAATTCACCAGGAAATTCAGGAATTGGATTGTTATGATTATATTCCAGAAGATGATGACATGATTGTCATTGAATAAATGAGTAAATTTTTTTTTAAAATTTAACTTTGTATGTATTTTTAAAAATATATTTTATTGATTTTTTACAGAGAGGAGGAGAGAGGGATAGAGAGCTAGAAACATCGATGAGAGAGAAACATGGACCAGATGCCTCTTGCACACCCCCTACAGGGGATGTGCCCGCAACCAATGTATACATGCCCTTGACCAGAATCAAACCTGGGACCTTTCAGTCCGCAGACTGATGCTCTACCACTGAGCCAAACCGGTTTTGGCTAAATGAGTAAATTCTTGATACTGTAGGATTCACAGTTTGTCTGGTTTGTGTTGACAACTACCGTACTACCATACCGTATACAGGTAATAAATTTCCTTTATTTTCATTTAACAATAAATGCGTACCGTATTCTTCTTCATGGAAAAATAAGACATCCCCTGAAAATAAGACCTAGAGCATCTTTGGGAGCAAATATTAATATAAGACACTGTTTTATTTTCAGGGAAACAGGGTACATATGTACAAAAATTATTTGGAGTCTAGATAAAGAAATATAATGAACTCTACTACCACTCCCCCTGGTTAAGGCAGGACTGTCTAAATCAACTAACAAGTACAGAAGGTCTTTAGGTTACATCGGAGATCCATTCCTAGGGCACAATGTAATGTGATTTTCGCCCGAAGTCGGAACCCACCTACATAAGCACCTACGTCACTCACATGGACACATACACAGCAGCAATGAAGTGAAACAGTGAAAAAAAATTTAAAAGAAAGAAAACAATTCCTGACCTTTACTTGTGGTAAATACAGTAAATTAAAAAAAAACAAACCCATAAAGCACATATGTACATATGTCGAAATGACGAAACTTAAAAAAAATTAAAAAAATATATATTTTATTGATTTTTTACAGAGAGGAAGGGACAGGGATAGAGAGTTAGAAACATCGATGAGAGAGAATCATAGATCAGCTGCCTCTTGCACACCCCCTACTGGGGATGTGCCCGCAACCAAGGTACATGCTCTTGACCGGAATCGAACCTGGGACCCTTCAGTCCGCAGGCCGTTGCTCTATCCACTGAGCCACACCGGTTTCGGCTTAAAATTTTTTTATAAATAACCACGAAACTACGTATGTAGAGTCTGATGTAACCCGAGGATAAGGTGACCAGACTGTCCCGCCAAAAGCGATTTTTAACAATTTGTCCTGTGTCCCATGGCGTTTTAAAAAAGCCTCGATTTTTGGAAAGAATGCACGACAAGCTAGGGAATGGAGGGAAAATGGGAGAGGAATATACTGTTTTCGGCCGCCATGTGGCTATTTAGCCAGGATATGAGTTTTATATTATTTTTGTTAACTTTATAATGTTAAACTTTAATAATAACAAATAACTGTTGAGAACTGATTATCGAGAACTGCTTATCAAAGTTCTCATTGTTGATCAGTTGTTAGAATTGTGGAATACGCACTGTCCTTACCAGGAACTAATGCTGCGACTGAACGTGTTTTTTCTACGGTAAATAAAGTGTGGAATCAGAAAAATCACAATTAAGTGTTGAGACTTTGAAAGCCATTTTATGTGTGAAATATAATTTAACAAATTTCATGACCTTTTAAACAATGACAGCAATCTACTAAAAAAATTCACTCAAATGAGAAATATGCCAAAGAATAAAATAATACTATACATAAATTTTATTTATTTATTATATTTGTAAATTGTACTTATGTTGAAATTTAAAAAATATATATTACAATATTATTTTTGCGTTCTATGAAAATTTTTGTTGCTTCATATAGACAAAATTTCTAATCAAGACCCCCCCCCCCCCCACACACACACCCCAGTCAATGGTGTCCCGCTTTACCAATGTTAAAATCTGGTCACTTTACCCGAGGACTGCCTGGGTACCACTATTTATCTAGCACTGTTAAATACAATAAAGTATTTAACCTTTTTTAAAATGTTATTCATTGGTTTGAGATAGAGAGGAAAAGTGATGGAGAGAGAGAAACACCACTTTGTATAGTTTATTTATACACTAGAGGCCCGATGAACAAAAATTTGTGCACTAGCGGGGCGAGGTCCCTCAGCCCGGCCTGCACCCTCTCTCGGTCTGGGACCCCTTGGGGGGTGTCCACCTGCGGGTTTAGGCCCGCTGCCTAGGGGATTGGGCCTAAACTGGCAGTCAGACATTCCTCTGGCAGGCTGGGAACCCTTGGGGGGTGTCTGACTGATGGCTTAGGCTCACTCCCCAGAGCGGGCCTAAGCCGTCAGTAGGAATCCTTAGCTCTGCTGAGCAGGTGGGAGAGGCTCCTGACACTGCTGCTGTGCTTGCAGCCTTCAGCCCAGCTTGTGGCTGAGTGGAGCTCCCCCTGTGGGAGCGCACTGACCTCCAGGGGGAGCGCCTGTGTTGAGCTCCTGCCCCCTGGAGGCCAGTGCACATCATAGCAACCAGTCCTTCCCACTTCCACCCTTAGGGTCATTTGCGTATTACCCTTTTATTATATAGGATTCCAGTTGTTTATTTATTTAAAAATATTTTATTGGTTTTTCACACGGAGGGAGAGGGGTAGAAAGGTAGAAACATCGATGAGAGGAAAACCTTGATCAGCTGCCTCCTGCACACCCCCCACTGGGGATGTGCCCGCAACCAAGGTACATCCCCTTGATGGGAATTGAACCTGGGACACTTCAGTCAGCAGGCCGACGCACTATCCACTGAGCCAAACTGATTAGGGCTAGGATTCCAGTTATTTATACATTGTTTCTGGCATGCGCTCTGACTGGAGATTGAACCCACAACTTTCGTGTATCAGGATGATGTTCTAACCAGCTGAGCTATCTGACCAGGATCAGAGACCTTATATGTTATCATAGGACTGCTAACCAGCAAATATTACAGTCTTAAGTGTCTTGATTCTATGCTCTTCAGGAGGTTCCAGATTAATTTACTTCTGGAAGAAGTCTTGCTGGGGAAGTATTCCTTGAGAGAGAAAGAGAGAAGATGAGAGATAATCAGAGAGAGATAAAGAGAGAGAACAGGTCACATATTGACCCAGAGATGGGTGATGGGAAACTCAGCAGAGGCTTATGCAACAAATGCCATCCCCTTCCCTGCCCACGGCCAGAACTGGACTCTTACCTGGCCACAGATCCTGCTGAGGGGGGCATCAATGCAGCTGGACTTTGTGCCTGGGACCTTAAACCTGACAACAGCCTGCCAATTCTGGGGGCCTAGGGACTCAAGGCAGCAGTGCTGGAAGCAGGGCCAGAAGGTGCAGTCGGGGCCACAGAGGCGGGTGTGGTTCAAGGACAGGATGGTGCCCTCATCACAGCACTGCTCCAAGGGGTTGTAGATCTCGCCCTCACACCTGGGTGCTGGATGGCACATCCACAGCCCAGTATCTGAACAAGCCAGAGCAGAATGGGCTCCTAGGACCAGTCTTAGACCTTGGAAGCCTCCTCCCATGTAAAGTGCCACCTCCTCCTTCTTACCTGCATCATTGTCATCTGTGAGTCCTTCTGAGCCTGAAAACAGGAGTTCAAAAATGAAGATGGCAGCTGAGAAGCAGAAGGGGAATGAGAATAAGCCTTCAGGTTACTATCCTGGGGCCCAAGATGATGCCAATGAGCTTCTTTCATTGCTAACAGCCCAGAGTGGATTCTGAGACGGACTCTGGGTGGCAGCGAAGGTTCTAGGGATAGCTAGGATTGTGAAATTTGCAGGTTGGGGGAGAGATCGTAATGCAGTCAGACATGTTATGGGGACAAGGTTTAGGGGGTGGGAAACCAGTAATAGAGTAGGAGAGAGAATTAAGTTTGAGGTTCAGAGGCACATTTTAGGTGTGATAACACCTACCATAGACTTGGGGCTGGTGTCCTCTTACCAAAGATTCTGGGCGCCATGGTTCTTGATGCTCCAGAGTAGTTTATGCAGAGCAGCAGGAGGACTGGGTGTGGGATTGTACACTCTGACTTATATAGACAACAGAAAAGCAGGGATGACCAAAGGGGTGGGACATGAAGTGTTGCATGGAGGAAAACACCGCCTCAACATGTTAATAAATGTTCCTGAACCAGTTCCAACTGACTACATCTTCCCAGGTAATCTCCAAGCCTCAGGGTGAACACTACCTTACGAGTCTTTCCAAGTTGTGACTTGTTTCTTTGTTATAGGGAAACCCAGTTAGCAAAGACTCATTGGTACCTCACCCACTCTTCTTGCACATAATCCACCTCCAGACCTACACTGTCTATATTTCTTCTGAGTTTTTTTTAGGGGAAATTATGAAGTTGCAGTGTGATCTAGAAGAAGCACAGGGGCTGCAGAAACCCTGGTAGGGAGAATAAAAAGGGAACAGATAGATGTAGGATAGACCCTCTGGGATTCATAAAACCAACTGAAAGAGCACCTTGTAGAGTGCCTGGTCCAAAGAGAGGCTCCATCCATGTTTCTCACTGTTGTTGTATTGTCAGCATCACCGCTGTTGTCACGAGATAATAAGTGAGTTTTCCCATGGCCCCCTGTCTCTGCTGGCTCCCTCCCAGGTCACAGTGAGTAGGTTGGGAAGATGAAAGAGATGTTGATCCAGAGGCAAAGCTGATAAATTCAGTCAGTCAGTCACAAGACAAGGAGACCTTAGAATTTTTTTCATTATTTTTTTATTTTTTATTTTTAAAATATATTTTTATTGATTTTGTGCAGAGAAGAAGGGAGAGAGCTAGAGAGCTAGAAACATTGATGAGAGAGAGTCATCGATCAGCTGCCTCTTGCACCCCCCCCACTGGGAATGTGCCCGCAACCAAGGTACATGCCCTTGACCGGAATCAAACCCGGGACCCTTCAGTCCCCAAGCCGATGCTCTATCCATTGAGCCAAACCAGTCTCGGCTTTTTTCATTATTTTTTAAATAATAGTTTATTGATTTTTTTAGAGAAAGAGGAAGGGGGAGGGAGAGAGAGAAACATCAATACCAGAGCGCAACATCAACTGACAGGCTGCTAATGGGGATGGAACCTACAACCTGTATATACCCTGACCAGGATTGAATTGGCAATCTCCTGGTGCATGGATGACACTCGACCAACTGAGCCACACTGGCTGGGCCCATCAGCCCTTTTTGGATTCAGACAGTTGAATACTTACATAGACAATGAAATTAAGACTAGCCCCAGGTGCCAGCTGCCCCTTGCACAGGGTGGCACTCAAACAAAGGGGTCATGTGACTGCAGGATGACAGGACCCTGTTGCTGAGGAGGGAATGTATGCTATTAAACAATGTCTGGGCCGAAGCCGGTTTGGTTCAGTGGTAGAGCGTTGGTCTGCGGACTGAAGGGTCCCGGGTTCGATTCTGGTCAAGGGCATGTACCTTGGTTGCGGGCACATCCCCAGTAGGGGTTGTGCAGGAGGCAGCTGGTCGATGTTTCTCTCTCATCGATGTTTCTAGCTCTCTGTTTCTCTCCCTTTTTCTCTGTGAAAAATCAATAAAATATATTTTTTTAAACAATGACTGGGTTACCAGAGAGATCAATGAATAAATAAAAAAAACTTCATGGCAACAAATTACAATGAAAACACAAGAATTCAAAATCTATGGGACACAGCAAAAGTAGTCTTAAGAGGGAAGTTGATAGCTCTACAAGCCTACTGCAAAAAATAAGAAACAATGGTAATAAATTAACTAACACTACAACTCAAAGAGTTAGAAAGAGAGCAACAAGAAAAGCCCAATATAAGCAGAAAGAAGGAAATAATAAAGATTAGAGTGGAGATAAATGACAGAGACTAACACACACACACACACACACACACACACATGCACACACACCATACAATACAAAATACGATAACAACAAAACCAAGAGCTGGTTCTTTGAAAGGATAAACAAGATTGATGAACTTCTAGCCAGGCTCACCAAGTAGCAAAGAGAGAGGACCCAAATAAACAAAATCAGAAATGAAAGAGGAGAAATAATAACCGACCCCACCAAAATACAAAGGATTGTAAAAAAAAAAAAAAAATACTATGAACAACTCTATTCCAACAAACTGGACTAACTGGGGGAAATGGACATATTCCTAGAAAAATACAACCTTCCAAAACTCAATCAGGAAGAATCTAAACATCTCAATAGGCCAATAACTATGAGAGAAATTGAAGCAATCATCAAAAAACTTACAGCAAACAAAAGTCCAGGGCCAGATGGCTTCACAGGGGAATTTTAACAAACATTCAAGGAAGAACTAAAACCTATCCTCCTCAGACTATTCCAAAAAAATTTAAGAAGAAGAAACACTTCCAAGCCCATTTTATGAAGCCAGCATCACCTTAATACCAAAACCAGATAAAGACAACACAATGAAAGAGAATTACAGGCCAACATCTCTCATGAACATAGATGCCAAAAACCTCAACAAAATTCTAGCAAATCGGGTTCAGCAGTGCATCAGAAAGACCATACATAGGGGTGTCAAACTCAATCAGAGAAGGGGCCAAAATCTAAAATCCAGCCTAAATCGTGGGCTGAATGGTTTACTGAACAGTCATAAACTGTCATTGTGATGGAAACGCAGCGGAGTGCAGTGATGACAGCGCGGTGCAGGCCACATTGCAAGGCCTGGCGGGACGGATTTGGCCCGCGGGCCTTGTGTTTGACACATGTGCCATACACCATAACCAAGTAGGATTTATCCCAGGGATGCAAGGATGGTACAATATCTGAAAATCAATAAATATGATACATCATATAAACAAATTGAGAGATAAAAACCATATCAATTGATGCAGAAAAAAGCATTTGACAAAATCCAACACCCATTTTTGATAAAAACTCTCAGCAAGGTGGGAAGGATTATACATTAACATAATAAAAGCCATATATAACAAATCCACAGCCAACATCATACTCAATGGGAAAACAACTAAAACCATTTCCCCTAAGAAAAGGAACAAGATGGGGATGCCCACTCTCACCACTCCTGTTTGACATAATACTAGAAATATTAGCCATTGGGATTAGACAAGAAGAAGAAATAAAAAGCATCCAAATTGGAAAAGAAGAAGTAAAACTGTCCTTATTTGCAGATGACATGATATTGTACATAAAAATCTCTAAAGACTCCATAAAAAAACTATTAGACTTAATAAATGAATTTGGCAATGTAGCAGAATACAAAATTAACACCAAGAAATATATGGCATTTCTATACACCAATAGTGAACTTACAAAAAGAAAGACTAAAAAAGCAACACCACTTACCATAGTACCAAAAAATTTAAGGTACCTAGGAATAAATTTAACTGAGGAGGTAAAAGATCTCTACGTGGAAAACTACAGGACACTGAAAAAAGAGTTAGAGGAAGATGTAACAGAGGGGAGAACATAGCATGCTCATGGATTGGTGGAATCAACATCATTAAAATGTCCACACTACCCAAAGCAATCTATAGATTCAACGCACTCTCCATTAAAATACCAATGTCATATTTCACAGACCTAGAAAGAACTCTCCAAAAATTCATCTGGAATAAAAAAAAAAAAAAAAAAAAAAAAAAAAAAAAAAAAAAAAAAAAAAAAAAGAACCCCCAATAGTCACAGCAATCCTGAGAAAGAAGAACAAAGAAGGAGGGATCACAATACCAGATTTCAAGCTGTAATGCAAAGTCACTGTTCTCAAAACAGCCTGGTACTGGCACAAGGACAGACATATAGATCAATGAAATAGAATAGAGAACCCAGATATTGACCCAAACCACTATGCTCAATTAATATTTGACAAAGGAGGCATGAACCTACAATGGAGTTAAGACAGTCTCTTCAATAAATGGTGTTGGGGCTAAAACCAGTTTGGCTCAGTGGATGGAGCATCAGCCTGCGGACTGAAGGATCCTGGGTTTGATTCTGGTCAAGGACATGTGCCTTGGTTGCGGGCACATCTCCAGTGGGGGGCATGCAGGAGGCAGCTGATTGATGACTCTCTCTCATCTATGTTTCTAAGTCTATCTCTTTCCCTTCCTCTCTGTAAAAAATCAATAAAATATATTTAAAAAATAAATGGTGTTGGGAAAATTGGACAGATACATGCAAAAAACAACAACAAAAAAACACACACAAAACAAAACAAAACAAAACAAAACAAAAAAAAAAACACAAAAAAAGAAACTAGACCACCAACTTATGCCATACACACACAAAAAAACCCTCAAAATGGATAAAGGACTGAAACATAAGACAGGAAGCCAAAGACTACTAGAGAAAAGCACAGGCGGAGAAATCTCAGACATATGCCGAAGCAATTTCTTCATCGATACTGCTCCTAGGACAATGGAAACTAAAGAGAGGGGGAAAAAAATGAGACTACATCAAATAAAAAGCTTTTGCACAGTAAAGGAAACCATCAATAAAACAACAAGAAAGCCCACTGTATGGGAGAACATATTAGCAAATGTTATCACTGATAAAGGTTTAATCTCCTACATTTACCTGGTACTCATAAAACTTAATAAAAGGAAGATAAATGAACCAACAAAAAATTGGGCAATGGACCTAAATAGATACTTTTCGAAAGAAGACAGAAGGGCCGAAACCAGCTTGGCTCAGTTGATAGAGCGTTGGCCTGTGGACTGAAGGGTCCCAGGTTCGATTCTAGTCAGGGGTATGTACCTTGGTTGTGGGTACATCCCCAGTGGGGGATGTGCAGGAGGCAGCTGATCGATGTTTCTAGCTCTCTATCCTTCTCCTTTTGTCTCTATAAAAAAAATCAATAGAATATGTTAAAAAAAAAACCCACAAAACAACCCACCACAAAACAGTGCATTCCACTCAGATGTTAAAAAAAAGAAAAAGAAAGAAGACAGAAGGAAGGCCAAGAGACATAGGAAACATGCTCAAAGTCACTTGTTATCTGAGAGATGCAAATCAAAATGACAATGTGGTACCATCTCACACCTGTCAGAATGGGGCTATCATCAACAAATCAACAAAT